ATTGGTTCTGGCTAGCTTTCAGCTCCCACAGCACTGTCAGCTTAGGGATGAACGAAGCGTAGTATCGTCGTGATGACGTGACGCCGTGAATATGTCGTGCCTGGAGTTCGTACGCCGTTGCCTTCCAGCGATGTCTACACGCAAGCTTTTCTTCTTCGCCTTTCCAGCCCTCCTTTGTGAGTCTGTCCAGCTCTTCGTACAAGGCTTTGCACTCAAGTGGCCGTCGATTATTTCCTCTGATACTCTTTCACAACATTTCCCCATGCAAAATAATTGTTCTATTTTTTCTTAAAACTTGCAAACGAATTTTTTTAATTTAGGACAAAAGTAATTTCAAAAGTAATGAGTAATTTTCTCAAAATTACTGCCTGAAAGTAATTCATTACATTACTAAATTACTAGCCTAGAGAAGTAATTCATTACATTACTCATTACTCCAAAAAGTAATTTAATTACTGTAATGTCATTACAGTAATGTCATTACTGCCATCTCTGGGGTTTACCATAGGTTTGTGTACTTTGGGTAGAAAATTCTGGGAAGAGGAGGCAGTGATGCAGATTTCCTAGCGGAAATGTTGTCGACCTCTTCAAGACAACTCCGCATACGCTTAAACAACAACAGTATAACAGTCACACGCTTTTCTTGCTCGCTACACCACAAAGTTCAGTTTCTTCTTCACAAAAATACGTAGCTTTCTGACCACTTAGCACATAAAATACATAAATGACTTGCGGTTATTTTATGTGGGTGAAAGGGAAAAAATAAAAGTGCGCGACCACTTCCAAAGCACGCCCCTTTTTTCTGAAAATAAAAATAAATATATATAACAACGCGAACGCGGAACCGGAAATGAGATTCTACCTTTCCGAGGTTGGAAAATAATTTCCTGCGAGCCATAGAATAAACGAGGAAACATCCAAAAACGAAACCACGGAAAAGAAAGACGTGCCTTTTCGGCCCGAGAGGGCACCCGTTTAGCGAACTAATTAATGAAGGTACGAAGGTTGGCAGCAACGGCCCGCCCCCGTGTACTTTAATTTAACATGTCCCCGAGTATTAATTAAACGGGCTGCGCTACAAAATCTAGCCATGGGGTCGTCCGAACGAGGGGTAAAAAGTGGAAGATAGGGATAAAAAGGAATCTAAACCTTATAAAACGCTCCACCTTTTTCTCTTAGCAGGAACCAGCTAGTTCGTGTAAACCAAAACTTATTCTCGTTTCATGATTTAGAAAAATGAATGTTAATTCAGAACATGAACAAGCTGTTTACGAACATGCCCGCGCTTGCCCGGGAAGTGAAGCGTCTCCACAAGCGCCGACAGTAGCGCCACCACAACGGCGTGACGTCAAAACAGCGTGAGACGTTTTGCGCATTACTCGTGCGCTGCGCGAAGTAGTTCTCGTACAATGCTTGGTCGTAGAAGGAAGAAGCGATGATTTTGGCGTTTGAGACGCGTACGCAATGATAAAATAACATAAAGCTAATCTACGGCGCACAATGCGCCTAAAATCCAAAGGAGGAAAAAAGAAATTAAAGTAACGACTTGCAAGGAGCCGGACCTTTCTTTGTTAAGGTTCTTGGAATGAATACGAGAATGACAAGGGAAGCACGTATCGCGGTAATGTGTGCGCAGGGATTAGGGATCCCAAGTTCAATCCCCAGTTCTGTCCGCTTTGATCTGGGGAGCACCGTATAACCGGCGTGCATGAGGTCGCGAATCACTACTGCGTGATGCTATGTTAAGCAATCCCAGGCTAGCAGGAGTACTTCACTGGATAAGTGTCTGATCTACAGCCGAGACACCAGACGTCCGTGGGGGGTGCTGATTAACTTCCTGCTGTCTTCATAACATACTACACGACGGTAGCGTAGCCAGTGGGTGGGGGAGCTTATGGGGCTTCAGCGTCTGTATACCTTCACCACTTTCCTTCGATAATGTCTCCTGGGAGCTGCAGGTCGGTCTACTAATTCGATAAATATCTCTCAATCAAGCCGCATAATTTTATTAATAATTAATAAGAAGACTGTGAGCGTGCAGGCGATAGTAATCCTGACGTTTAAAACCCGAGACTGTGATGAGGGGAAAAAATAGCAAACTCTGAAGCGGAAGAAGAAGGCACAGGAGAAGAAGTCTGAAACGAAGCTAAAACGTTTATTTTTTCTCACCACAGTCTCGTGTTTAAAACATCATGCTCAATAATTAGTCGAATTTATCAGCAGACATCTCCACACCATTTCTTTTTCTAATTTTTTTATATTGACCCACGAAGTAAAATAAACCCCAAACACGAATCAAAATTCCCCCACCAGCAAAAAAAAAAAAAAAGGTTTGGAAAAGTGGGGGAGAGAGAGAGAGAAAAAAAAAGAACACAATCGTCCTCTTTTGCCTCCACAAACCCGGGATGTGACAGGTAAATACCCCAGTTTACCAATGCATATCTTATATACATATTCATGCTCCACACGAATCCACCCAAGCATATTTCCCGCCCTGTCCCACTCAAAATAGCCACGCCGGAAGACAGCTCATCACACGACAAACGAATCAAGCGCTCCAAGCCTCGGAGCATACCGAAAGCGCAGCCAATCAAATCCTCGACTACTCCGCCTGTTCTCTGACCCGTGCGCGCGTATTTTCATTCTTATTTTTGTCTTTTCTTTTGCTCCCGGTGTTTAAACGCGAGGTTTGAACCCCGGGTATTCGATCTAGGGAACAGCGAAATGCGGACTCACTGGATCTTGCCAGCTTCTCGGCGTCCTGGCGGATCAGCGAAGTATGTTGATGATCCATAGGCGGGATCACATGTGGCTGGCTCTCATCCGCGAGTGGAGGCATTCGCGAATGAAAACTACGCTCGTCATTGGTCATGCGCGGGAATAGTTTGTTCGACGGCCGCCTTCTGCGCTGCCGTCGCGACCACCTCCTAGCACGGACCCTGCTTCCATACGCGGCGCGCTAGTGAGTGCCTCAGTACGGGAATCTACCGATAGGGGCGCGACATTGCGCCGCAATAAAAACAAACGATCACCGCAAATTTAATAAGGATGACAAAATTAACGTTTATATGTTGCGCCGAATGTGAAAATGAGCTCTACCGATTTTATTTTTAAATGTCGTTTCTACAACGCGGCGTCAGCTTCTTTTTGTTTGTCCACTTCAGCACGAAATTACCGGGAAATTCAAGCAAAGTAAGATTCTTTGGGTTTCTACACGAGGACAAGAAACCAGGAAAAGACCAGATAAAAAAAAAAAGCTGATGATGATAAGAAGATAAAAAAAAAAGCTGTGAATCGACACACGCATTCCGTACAGTACACTGCTATCACCCCAAAAACGGTGACGCGTCAAACAACAAAATGCGAAAGCCGCGCGCGCGCGCGCGTGCGTGTGTGTGCGTGTGTGTGTGTGTGTGTGTGGGGGGGGGGGGGGGGGGGGGGGGGTGTACTGCTTGTGCAAGCAGCGTCTGTGGGCAGGTCCGTAACTGCGGTAATCTAATAATGCTAACGATGACGTTGTGCGACGTCCGTCATGTGACGTCACGGTCATGAGACTTCACACACGCGTAGCATGTGCTCAGCTCATTCACAACACCTCTGGTGCTCCCGTCTTTGTCAGCATGATCACGTTAGCACCTTTTTTTTTTTCTTTTTTGTTTACACATGTAAGATTTATGCAGAAAAACAACATTGCAATGCTGAAACCGCTCTGTCGCCAAGTTTTCAGAAATTTTGATGAAACATGGATTGTTCTGTCCAATATTTGTGACCCATACCAGTTTTCCTTTCAAGCAATATCTAGCGTGCAACAGGACTAAATTCCTAGAAAATTCTATATTGGTAACCACCTGCAACAATATAACAACCTAAATGAAGAGATAACCATGGCCCCAATTCATCTTGTTTCACCACTCAGCCATTCCACACTAACCAAAAGTTGATGCAACCACGTGTAGCGAGGCCAGTCCTGCATAAGCAGCAGCCCCTCTTCCCCCCGAGGACACGTTACCTTCTCCAGTTTCTTCACTTCCAGTGGACTCCGGGAGCACCAGCGATTGGGGGTTCATATCACATGAGCGAATGACGTTTTAGCGAACAGCGACATTTGAGCGAATAACGGGGGCGCGCGTCAACCCATTCGCCGCGCTTCGCTTACGCCGCTTTGCGGCGACAGTCTGCGGCGGCTCATTACAAAAATGTGAACCCATTTGGCCCACCCGAAAACGACGCTTCGCGGCGACCGACTATTCGCTAAAGTGTCATTCAATGAAACGTGGGGGTTTGCTAAAACGTCATTCAATCAAGTGAATGCCTCCCAGCGATTGGTTACCTCCATAGTCGTGGCAAGAATGGTGCAGTGAAGTACTTCATCGGTTGTTTCCTCCTCTCCAGATTTGCTCCATTAAAACGGAAAGAGTGGAGGGCTTTGCAAGAGGAGCTTGCCCTGCCTTTCTTAACCTGCAAGAGGTTATACAGCATGCAAGTTCGTCTGCCCATTGTGCACTTCGTGCGTCTGTTTACCCCCGAAATGAGACCATGCTCTTTTCCCCTCCGACCTCCACCGACAGCATGTGCTTGGCTGCCTCGTCATCTCGCATTCCCTGCGCATTCTCCATGCTGTCCTTTGATTGGCATGCACCTCTTTGCATTCCGGTGTACCAAAGACGCATTTCAGAACACTTGCTCGCCCTATAACCATAAAGAAATGATTAAACCGTCGCCCCCACAAACAAAGCACGCCCATTCGCCCATTCTTTGAATCGGATGGCAGCTGAAACCACTCAGCCAAGAGTATTCAATGTACTATATGCTAGAAATTATCTACAACAGAGCTAACTATAGGTCCTTAGCATTACAGCACAATTTGGCAACAAAGAAAAGCTCAGATACCTCATTACACTGTGGACATTTATTTGAAAGATTTGAAAGTAGCAGGGTACAATCTAAAGCCCACAGGTCAATGGCGAGTTGTTAAGAGGAAACAAACTGCCACACTGAGACAACAGCGGAATATCACTTTATTTAAACATTTGTAAAAAAAAAAGAAAAAGAAGAAAAGTCAGTAAGGGAAGATTTTATATACAAAAGCATATACACCAGAATATGTTCAATAAGTTAAATGAATTAGTTATGTTAGAAAGAACAAACGGAGGCACTTTGAGTCAGAACGAAACACCGGTGCCAGGAGCTGTCAAGCCCCAAACATTAATGATTGCACCGGCGAAAGGCAACCATCAGTTTTCCGAGATAACTGACATAACAGTTAAACGGACCATGAAACAATTTTGTGTATATCTGCATGAAGTATTCTTTTTTTATTTTATTTTTAGCAAGAGTATTAACGAGGCTGGCCACCCTTTTTGCTCTTCTTTATATTTACTCCCAAAAAGATGGTCCTTTACACTAAAGAAAGAAAAAGAAAAGATACACAGTATCTCTTGGCGACAGAAAATCCACCCAAACAAATTTGGTGGAAGTTGCACACCTACTACTATGCCACTGCTTTCAGTAGTAAAAGAAGAAGAAAAGGAAAACCTGAGACTGCTTCTGGGAATATCTTCCATCAATGTCTGATCTCATTTTACACTTCCTGTGGACAGGCCTCGTGCAACGAACCAACGACCTCTATCGTAGCATTACTGCGATTAAAACATACCTCTTTTACTATACCGACAAAAACACATCTGCATATAAACATATTAAGACCCTTGTTAACTGTATTTGCCATTCAGATACTTTTATATATCACATCACATTCATTGGCAACATTACCCCTTGTATGCCTAGTGGCAGTGTGGACACGTAAGATGCGTTCCACTTGCTACCTTGGCTGCAAACGAATATATGGACATATGGACGCGAAAGTGTGTAGGGCTCACTCAGAAATGCTATTAAAAAAAGAAAACTGCAGCTGGTAGTTGTTTAAAGTGCCTACGTCGCACCAGGACCCAGTCTCCTCTTGACGAGAAAATTGCCCGTGGTAAGTGTAAAGGTCGCCCAGTTTGTAAATGCCACCATCTTGTTTCACGGTCCCCTCCTTGACTGGGTGGGGTATTAATGACCTAAGCAGGTAGTTTAGTTCTTCGCGCCTCATTCCAAAAATCTGGGTCTCCAAACTTCGAGCAGGTCGGTTCCGACCGTGGCCAAGGTCCGGTCGCACACGTGGAACTGCAAGCGAAATGAGACACAAATGCGACAAAATGACGCAGCCGAAAATGGGCGGGGTTCCCACGGTGCCCGAAACGAGTCTCTGACTGGCGTATTTGGCGTCCTATTCCGCCCACACAGTAAAAATTGGTCCTGAAGGGCCACAAAATGACTCCTGGCTGCCGGAGCTTCGGCGGACTGTCGGGCGTCTGCCCCACCCCCATCGTTGCTCCGACAACGCCAGGATTGTAGCCGGCAACAAGACACTTCTGCAACCTCATGGGGCAGAAATCTAAGAACCAATTTTTAGGATGCGGTAAAGTCGCCAGTTGGAGAAGAGTCCTGGGCACCGTACGACGTTAAGGGACTTTCGAGCATTTTCAATTCTATAGCAATGTCTTAAAGGGCGGCCGATGTCCGAGAATCCGTCACTTCAAAAGTGAGGGCGCCTAAAAAAACAAAGCAAAGTTTCCCGTATTTCTTCATCAGCTAAAAAAATGACAAGACGGCGCCTAAGACGGCTTACGTGTGGGAATGCGAAAGCATACGTACGCATAGCACATTAATAACAAGCTGCGCGCCCCGCTACACTCTGCGGAGGCCGGCCGGCCAGGCACTAGAAAAAGTGCTGCGGCGCGCGGGCCGCAGCCATTTTGGTGCGGCCAATCCGTCGCAACCATTTTAATAGCCGTTCCGCGGAGGGAATTTCTCGGCCGTTTTTCGCGGTTACGGACAACGCCGGCTCGGCTACATGGGACCGGTTAATGCTTTCGCATTAAAAGCAAACCTCCGCATTGAGGTCGCACCACCTTTCCCCATGCTTGCAGTCATCAATTTTTGTTTTCTTTCCCGACACAAAAGAGCCCTCTCTCTCTGAATGTTTGAAACAAACACCAAAATAATTTGAGAGGGGCTGAACGATGGCGGTAGTGCTCCCATCTGCAGGAAGAGTTTAAAAGTTCCGAAACATGAGCCACACTGGTGATAAGACCTTTCTGGTCCATACTGGATGGACCAAGTGACACTCGTCGTGATTGGTAGCTGTAAGGTGTTAAAGGGGTACTCCAGCATTTATTTCATTTTCTCAATTTTCCTCAAAATTGCCTAAACACACCAATAAACATAGCTGAACTAAGCCCAAATATTAGGCAAAAATATTATTTTTCAAGAAACCTATTAAAAAAGTTGGTGCTCACTTTTTTTTTTTTTTTACGCTGGAAGTCTTTATTGGCAACAACGAAAAAGTGATGCCAGTGGCAGACACGGGTTCACTCTGGGAAATAGAATTTGTACCCAAATGACTACAAGAAGTTTGATGGTGACAAATGAATGCTCTGGCAGCTCGCTCCAGCATTTCCGCACCAGTACAAAACGAATGCGTGGCTTACTCGCTTTTCTAGAGTGCCCGCTTGACCTGCAAGCCTGCCTGCCAGCAACATCACCGTACTGAGAAGCACGGGCGCACGGGTACATCTGAATGTAGATTTTCGCATGGCCTTCATTTGGCGATTTCACAGTAACTATTCTGAATTTAGAGCCCATGTGGAAAAGGGTAAGGGCCAGGTATTCATAAATCATAGTTAGTTATGGTAGCTAAAAAACGTCGCTTGACAAAATGCTTCAAACCCAGGTCATAGGTTTTTCGGGGTTAATTTAGAAGGGAAATTGGCGGATGCTTTTTCGTTGTTAATTTCTTTCTAAAATATTGGCATACTATTTCGGCGACCTGCTTCAAACGCACACTAAGAACGGTAATTATTGATAAAAAAATCTATAATAAAAAAAAACGCATCTCCACGTGGTGAATGATGTTGATTGGGGCGAAGCTCTGGTGGTGCTTGTCTGCTCGACGCCGAGCCACAGCATGTTGAGCCTTTCGTTCGTTTTCATCTATGTCACGCTGCGGTCAAATGCTCAAATGCGTATATAACCACGTTCCATACCACACATTCTCTTTCTCACATGGATGAAAACGAACGAAAAGCTCGGCATGCTGCGGCTCACCGTCTACGCAGACAAGCACCACCAGAGCTTCGCCCCAATCAACATCATTCACTACGTGGAGATGCGGTTGTTTTTTTTCTCTACACGAGCACGGGAGCACGTCCTCAAGTACTCGTGAGCGTGTGAGCTCACGAGCAGGGGCACGTGCACCCGACGGCGGACGGACATGGTTGGCCCCCTAAGGAGCTTCGCCCCTAAAACTAGGAGTGCACTTCCGCTATCGCATCACATGTGTTGTAGCGATGTCATCTTGGCACTCGCGCCATTCGCCATCATTCTGGGGCGTTTCTACACGTACTCCCAAGCCCAAACTTGGGGACCTTCACGCCATTTTCGCTTCTGCTCTTGATTCAACTTCCGTGACCAAACCATACGTTGTCTACGACGAGTCCTCAGCACCCCGTAACTGGAAGTCGTGCTTTTAGAACCCGCTACAAACTTTCGAGATCTAGCCGTACGGCACGCGAGTTTGTCTGCTTGGATCGTTGTGCGCACGCGCTGGCCCATCAGGGTTTTGGCTATGGCATCAAAGTAAGAACGGCATCTCTTTTCAAACGCCTGCATGCTCAAAGCACCAGAAGCTTTTGCGAAGGACGAAGGCACTATTTGCCGAGGAGGTTCCCACTAAAAGCTGTCAAAACTGAGAATTCCAGTCTAAGAGGGATGGGTTTCAACAAAAACAGTCCTAGCTAAAGCAAATGTATTCAGTGTTTCTCGGTTTGATCCGATTACCGTAAAATCTTAAGAGATAGCCCACCTAAAACCAAGAGAAAATTTGGTGAAAATAAGGAGTGAGCCAACTTTCAGTGTACAATCAAGAAAAGTTAAAAAAATGCTACTTTTAAATCTGTCTCTGTCAAACTTGTTACCAGGGGGGGGGCAAGAAAGCAAGTATCACTGCATGTACTTCCCAGTCAGCAATGTTCGCTTATACACCATAGCTCAATAGACACATTTATGCCATGGCCAACACTGATCCGAACACTATAATTACTAGGAGTGGGCTATCTTTCAGTGTTTAAAAGAAAACAGCAAACCGAGCCAAAAATAGAGGCAGGCTATCTTTCGGGGGTGGGGCATCTCTCAGGATATTAAAGTATGTATTTTTGACACCAACGGATGTTTGTCTGTGTTTTTCGGTTTCACCCGATTTCACATTTTTGACACCCACGGACGTTTCTCGGTGCTTCTTGGTTGGAACCGGAAAGCCTACAGCCCGCTCGTGACCGAAACGCACCCTGGAGACCGTTTGTCCCACGACGCCTTTCGAGATGACTTCTGGGTCCAGGCTGGGCTCCAGCACAAGGATGGGCCCTCCCATGTAAGACACGAGGACGCTGCTCAGTGAGTGGTAGATCCCGGTCGAGACTTTCGACCGGTCAACCCCAACATCCACGCTGACACACTGCGAAACCCAAGCACAGACCACAGCACACGCCATGAGCGTAAAGGATGGTTCACATTTTGGCGACTGCTTCTGACCGGCTGGGCTGGTCCGCAGAGGGTCGTAAGCAGTCACGAAAGGCTTAAAAACCGGCCTTTAGCCTCTCCGGGTGTAAGCAGACTTAAGCCTTAACTAAATAACGGAGCCAGAAAAGCACATTCCTTTCCCTTTTGCCGCCAAATCTTCGCTGGAGGAGAAGGATCGTATGTGCCGAACCACTTCAAGGCGCTCGAGTGGAAGTGTCCCTGTGGAGTGGTGATTTTTGAGTTGTGTGGGCAAAATGCATACTTTCTCCAAGGTCTGACAAGCAGGGAGGTTCTCAAACCTCTGGACATTTTGTGTGGCGTTTGGACGTAATGTGGCCAACTCCTAACTGGCTACACCGCATTCTAACTATGAGTGTGGATGAAGCATGCGGAAATTTGACAAACGTGCCACCACGAGCTTGTGGATTTGACAGGCGCTTTTGATGCATGTGCGATGATCAAGACTGGTACCCGTTTACGTGTTTCATAACTATAAGTAAAAAAAAAAAAAAAAATTAAACCTTAGCTTTCTCAATTTTTTTGTACACTAACAAGACTCAATTAACAAAAAGCTTTAGACTGTTTCAGAGAATCTTGATTTTAACACTTGCCAAAAGCCACCAAGTGCAAAGCACAAATGTGACCTGGCTGCAACCACAAATGAAAAATGACAACTGTAAAGGTGTCTCAAAAAAAAATGCAGAAAGAGTTATAATCTATGTAAGCTTGTGCATTCTTTAAAAAGTAATCAGAACGAAAAACTGTGCTCAAAAACAAGACTGAAGATTGAAAGGAATACTACGACGAAATTTCGGCACTTATTTTTTCGTCTATACCTGTTCAAAGTAGCAGTATCACATCGGACACACCAATATCTTGTGAAAAAAGACACGAAAAGGAAATTTAAAACAAATTAAACGATTAGGAAATGGCACCTGGTGGATGTCGCTAAAGCCTCATTTGTGATGCCCGTCTAGGAACCTTGACAGGTAGTGAGGATGCCCGTCTCGCCTAGAACTATACGCGCCTTGAACCTGACGTCATCCCGACGGCTCTCCGACCAGCATGAGAGAAGAAGGGAGGGACAAACTCTCCTCTCACCAAGATTCTCTCTTGTGTGTCGCAGACTTACCCAGATGTCGCCATTGTCCCTCTACAAGATTATAGAAGATTAACCCGTCACTCAAAATTCACACAAAAGCAGCTTTGTGGATAGTTGCGGTGGCTCAATCGCTGGCGTGCTTCGACCGCTTCGGTGGCTGGAACGGCTAGGGTATCCTGATGACGTCAGCCTCGCCGCAGCTTTGCTCGTCCTGAGACAATCTACGTCACGACCAGGGTGTAAGATAGACAGGTGGGGAAACGGCCCATAGAAGCCTACCGCAGCGCCGTGACCAGATTGTGTACTCGTCTGCTTGCGGGTACCCCCGATTTGCGACAGATGGCGCTGCGGCGAGAGGAAAAAAATTGGAATCGAATTTGCATGGAACTTTATGGGAGAGTGTGCAAAATAAACCGAGAGCACGATATTCCTTCATTGAAAATCCATGAGAAATAATCTCCGTCAGTTTAGCCGGTCGCCACCGGTTGCCCACCCGGAGTGAGAGTTCGCGGTGCTCCACATAGATGGCGCCACAAAAAAAGAGAAAACCGAGGGGGACACAATGCGGTCGCTCATTTGGCTCTCGTTTCACCACCTGTCTATCTTACACCCTGGTCACGACTGCGCCGGATGAGACGTACTCTCCGCTGGCTGCTCTCCGAGAGCTTGCCAGAGTGGGCCGTTAATAAGAAAAAATACAGCCATCAGGCTCAAAAAAAAACATGCAATTGTCATTTAGGGATATTGTGGACCATATTCAGCCTATTTCTGAACACGACAGGTACATTTCAAATTTCGTTGAAGCACTGCTTTAAAGAAAACAGTAGAGAAAAGCCCGTGGCTGTACCTGGAGTTCCTTGGCGCTCCCGGTGGTCATGTCCATGATGTGAACGCCGCCACCCTTCGATCCAACCCACAGCTGTCGCGAGTCGAAAGACAGCGCCGACGGGTGCGAAGCGAACTGCACAGGGATACGCGGGAATTTAATTACCTCATCAGCAATGCGACAAACTTGTCACGAACAGCTCAAGGAACGTTAGGGCGTGGCTCATCGTGCTCATGCTTTGCTATGAAGCACAGTGTAATGCACAGAAAACAATGGGCACAAAAAAGAAGCATGGTGTAAAGCAGCTGTGTGCGTGCCTTCTTCCTTGTGTCCATTGTTTTTTGCACCTTACACCATGCTTCATAACGTTCATCAGCTAGCTTAAAGGAGTCATGAAACGCTTTTTCAACTTTTTTCTGTTTAGCTTTCCTCCTCAACTCATAAATCGCGCATTGTACCAAACAGTTCAAGAAGTCGGAAAGAAGGGAGTCCCCTCTTGCTCGGAATCTCGCTTGTGTAGCCCGGACACAGCCATTGTCCCCCTAGAAGATTAACCCGTCGCTCAAAATTCCGACTAGTTGCTTTCCCCACCCCGTTCACCCCGAAGCTGACAGTGCTGTGGAAGCTACGTGCTCGTTGGGCCAGCCACACATTTTCCACGTGATCACGCCCTCTCGCGCATACCGACCCGCAGAGAATGAGGTCAGGTGATGAAAGGGAGGTGGCTGATTGGTCCGGCAAGCGCGTAGCTTCCACCGCAATGTCAGCTTAGGGGTAAAGGGATTAAGTGAGGTCCGGTGTCGTGTGAAGTGCGCTTGGGCCCTGGTGACGCGCTGCGGGGGCCCGGTTATGGTGGCTAGTAACCCAGTGACGCGCTGCGGGGTCCGCGGATGTATCACAGTGAAAAGGCGGAGAGTTTACGAAGGGAAGGAGGTACGAAATAGTCCGCTATGTTTTGCAAATTTTTGTAGCAAAAGTCAGGCTTCTGACTTTCTAGCTTTGTTTTTTTGGCCCACTGAACGATGTGCCATTAGTAAAATCCCAATATAAATTGATTTACTCCAGCCCAAAATTCGTTTCATGGGTCCTTTAACCACAAGTTCTTCTTGCTGGTTTGCGATTCGTTCTTCGGAGTCCTTGTCGGTTAACACCATAGTCTCATTGGCTGACAAGCGATAAAGCAATAAAAAGATGCCAGGGAACCGTTATGCCCCAAGCTTTTTAGGATGTCAGCCATTATAAGACGCAAGACGTCCTGTCGTATCAGCGACTATGAGACGTATAAATTTGATTCCCCCACCCAGAAAAAATAATTTAAGAAGGGCCTCCGACACAAACATTTGGACTCTCAGAAATGGGCCCTGGGTTTGCAAGTTGAACCAACTACTTAGTGGCAACGAACGATTCTCAAAAAATAAAGTATGCCGCATCTTTTTACTTTCGTTGTTTAACGTTAGAGAAGATTTTCTCTGAACTTTTACGTGAGAACATCTGGGCGAGCAATCTAGAAACAGAGTCTTAGCTAAGACTGCACGAAAGAAAGCACTGCCAGAGGTAGTAGCGTACAAGCGGGGTAACACACAAAGTCAGGTCCCAAGTGCTTCCATATCCAAGGCTTGTTCACAGAGTTTTAGCCAAGACTAGCAAGCCGGCTCCGACGTTCCAGTTGAACACGCTGACTGCCGGCTACCAAAACGGCACGCAAGCAGCACTACTGGCTCAATCCTCCGTCTGCCATTCAATTGATCGTTACCTTGTCGGTATCGACTGCGACACTTCCGTGACGTTTCACAGCCATAAAGGCTTGTTCAGAGTTTCAGTGAGCTCGCGTGCCCTGCGTCCCTTCCAGTGTTGTACATTGTACCTAAGGTACTAGTTCAAGTAGGGTTAGAAAACTTGTACTCTGTTTGAAGTACAATTTCTGAGTATGCACTTGAACTTCACTAAAAATATATATTTTTAGTGAACTATATTTTTTTCTGTTACTTTCAGAGGAAAGTACAACTCTAAGTTCAAAGTACATTCCCCAAATTTGCTACTCTTAAATTTGTAATACAAAATGATGCTTTGATAACAAATAAGTGCCTTGTAAGTTGATTGTGTTAAAAAGTTTGTCAGCGAGTAAAACAACTACTCTGTGGCCACTCAATATTATCCAATATTCATCACCATTTCAGAAAATAGCTGATGCTCCCAGAGTACCCTTGTGGCCATGCGTGCTCCAATAAGAAAACACTGTATAGGGGAATGAAAAGGCATTATGTGTGCTTGACTTCAAAAGTATGCTGTATTTATACTAGTATTTTACTTCATGTACATTGTGCCCGACGTAGTTACAACTTCATTTGAAGCACATAACCTCTAATTTACTTTGTACTTAACTTCGAGTGCTTTTTATATGTACACTGCACAACACCGATCCCTTTGAAACTGCTCGCCACGAGAGGACGCTGTGGTGTCATCTACTAGCCAGCCCTGGAATTACGCACAACTGCTGTCCATTGCAACTCATAAGGGTAGGGCAAGGAACGGAAGGCCAGGGAAGAGGAAGCAGACGGAACGCTAAGGAGAGGAGAAAGTTTCCCCCTCTCTTCCCCAGCATTTCATCTGCATCCTCCTCCCTGGCCTTCCTTTCCCTCACCCTACCTTCTTGAGTTGCAACGGACTATAGACTGAAGGTTTCGCGGCATTTGCAGACGACGGGAGACACGGGAAGCTCCGGCGGTCCTCGAACCTTGATCTGCTGCCTGAGTCTGCGAGCGCGCTGGTCGAAGACACGTAGCCAGTGCGAGTCGCAGCCTGCCACGAGGCTCCGTCCGTCGGTTGCCAGGCAGGTGACGCAGCCCGTTCCACGGTTGTAGCGCGGCGTGGGCTCCTTGCCCTCCCTCGGGTCGTGGCAGTAGACGGTGCCGTCAAAGGTGCCGAAGCACAGCAGGCCGTCGGCGTCACAGATCGATAGCACTATGCTCCGGAATCTGGGGGAGGGGGGCGCATGAAAAACGAGATGTCGGGAACGTGGCGTTTGACGGTAAAAGTGAACGGCGTTTTTAGACCCGCGTAAATAAGCTATGCGTCGCAAAAAGGTGAAACACTGTCGGAATGCAAAATTTGCAGTAGAAATGGACTAGGGAAGTTTGGGAATGTGAAGTTACCTGGCTTAATACGTAAAAGAGAAAGAGGAAACTTTTCTACGAGCCAACTCTCACCCACATCCCAACCTAGAAAAAATTTTAAAAAAGTAACATAAAAGAAGACAGAACAAAATAAAGCATCAAACTGCCTTGGCTAATAGCTCGTACCAGGCGTAGAAGGTACTGAAACTTCGCAACAGTAAGTGAAACTATGGTGAAGCTCTCCTGTAACCATCGGTGTCTGGAGGTGGGGGTGCAAAGGAATGGGGGCAGTTGCCCCCCCCCTCCCCCTCCTCCTCCTCTCACCCCTATACCACCTAGAAGACAAGCCCTGCACTTTCCTTCCTCCAGACATCATTACTAGTGGATCCCCGCTGCATCGCCTACCTCGCACCAGCGTCGCTTCACAAGCGTGACTTCAGCATGCAGAGACGCCAGGGCGGACATGTCTGCCGCTTGGGGCGGGTCAGGGATACTTCTAACTATGACTTCTTGCCAGACCTCGACTTCTAGGTGGCGTTGCCCAAACCCCTACCCACCCGCAATTCTAGGGTTGACCCCCTCATGTGAAAAATATGGTTGCCAGCTCCACCTAGTGAATCAAACTGATTGTATCTGCCACAACATTGTAAGTTGCCAAGTGGGTGCAACCAGACGGCGCGTGTGATCTGCGACAATATCGAAGTGTCGTGGAGGGTATCTTGCTTTTGCGATTTGTTTAAAGCGAGTTTTGATCTGTACAACTCGTTCGGTGGTGAAAGAGCCCCTCACTTGAAGGAGCCGAGGCACTGCAAGGCGTGGTCGAGGTCCCAGAATTTTACGGTGCGATCGAACGAACTGGTGATGAGAACGCCATCGACATTGTGTAGGCTCCAGAGCCAGCCCTGCGACAAGAAATGAGGCAGACTAAGAGGCCGGCATCTTGAGTCCCCCTTCTTTGCTATAGGCCCGTAATTCTCGAGCTACGAGTGGAGAGATACTCCGTGGTCGGTGAGGAGTTAAGAATCCGGTAGGTGCATTGCCTCTAACACACACTCGTTGCCTTTGGCTGCACATTCGACGAAGTGCAATTGAAAGCAGAAAGCTCGTGCTCGAGGCGGAGTAGCTACCAAGCGTTTACCCTGACATTGACTAAAGAGGGAGACATTCCAGTCAGCCCCAAGAATATTTCTTTAACAAACTCAGCAGAAGACATGACAATAGAGGCAGAAGGAAAGAAAAGACAGGGTCAATTTGTTTCTTATAAATAACTTGTAATAAAGGTTACAACCAGCGTGCACAGCTGTAACTAAAAAAAATCCAGTCTCTATCGTATTGTCAATGATGGAAACAAATTGGCAAGCGTAAACTGAAAATAAAGGTTTAATCCGCCAACTATTGCCAGAAACGAGAAAGAACAAGCATCAAAATAACCGCGGCGTCGGCATGGCAGCTGACTTGAATGAGACTGCGAGAGTGAATGCGCACCTCCACGTTAAGAGAATGAGTCAGCAAGGTCATGTTGAGCTCCTTATCTTTTGCACTCTAGATAAGAGTAAGCCTGAATCTTCTAGAAGTTCAGAGAAGTGTTCCTTCTCGGTCATGCACGCGGCATTACTCCCACCCTGAAAAGCGCAACGTCCGGACGCTACTTGAAATAAAACAAAGCTAAAGCAAATGACCGTTTGCAGTAGACCATGGGGTCATCTGAACTATGAAAACGCTCGATCGTGGCGGCAGGTTTGCGAAGCTGGCAATGATTCGGATGGCGGCTGGCGTCGTTCTGGCTTTCTTTGGAGTCGGGACAGGTTTTCGCTGCGTCAAACGGTTCGCTCTGAGGTCGACGACTATTCCATGACCAGTATTTTAGTATTCCACGACTAGTCCATGACTAGTATTCGCATGTAAAGTCTATTCTGAGAATGACGTTCCTTGCACAGTCATTGAGGACGACAAATTTCCTGGAAATGTTTCACTGTGGATCTCGACGCAAGCCGCACACCTCCCCTGGCGTGATGAGGTGTCCTCTGGCGGTTAAAATTCGTGGACAATCCCACGGCATCGTCACTTTTCTAAGGCGGCGAGAGAGCTTCCCACTTAAAAGGGAATAGTCTGCTCCAGTGTCGATGAGCGTCGTCGCGTTTCGTTCGTCGACTACCACGTCGAGGTTATTTAACACCTTCGCGGGAGCGTCTTTTCGATGTGTCCCGTTCCTGGAGTGGGAGCCCTCCAACATTCATGCAGCTCCTTTGCGTCGTTCGTCCTTGGCAATACCACACCCCTGTGTTGCTGCACGTAGTTTTCCTCGCGATGCAGGGGAGACGGGCCTTCCCGGCATGACCTATGAGGAGGCTATGCGGGGCATCGCAGCAAAGGCGAGCAAGCTCCTCGGGACAAGGCAAGCGCGGTGAACAATGGACGGCGAAGACACTTGTTCATTTCTTGCGGGCGGTCGTCGCACAAAGCGGCACGGGTCACCCAGATAGAACTTGCGCATCCCCATTGGCCTGCAAGGGCGTCGGCGATAAATGTGGTAGACTTCCCCGCAGCGGAAGCACGGTGGGCGTCGGTCGGCCGTTCTCCGGATGTCCGTCTTCCTTGGCGCCGACCGTTCTCGACGGACATACCGGGGTTGTTCCTCCCGACGTCAAACGTTTTGGGGTATGTGCGCGTAGCATCGAGAAGTGGCCGGGTACCGGCAGGCAACCGGCAAAGTTGTTGGGTCGCAGCGGGCGGCATAGGTCGACGCTGGCTCCTCTGGGGCGGCCATGTCGACGAGAGCTTCCGGTCGCAAGGCCCACTGGACCTCGTTGCGTACGATCTCGGTAACCGAAGGCAAGGTCGGGCATTCGTCGGAGAGGAGTAGCTTTCAGGGCTCCTCTCGGACGACGTCCCAGACGATTCCACATATGTCCGACGTACTGGACCAGGTAGTAGCCGATAATGCGAGGCCAGTGCCCAGAAGGCATGTTCGATGTCCGTGGCCTCCGTCATGAATTGTTTGGCGGTCGCGGGTGTACTGCGCATGAGACCCCTAAGGATATTTTCTTTGACCACCCGTACGAGGATCATAAATTTCTTCGCCTCGGGATCTGCTCGGCTGCCGAGTCAAAGCACGTCCTCAACGAAGCCGACAATACTTTGGTTGGGGCCTGGAACCCTTGCCCGAAGCAGCTCCTCGGCGCGTTCCCGTCGCCGCTAGGTCCCAAACACTCGGCAGAGCTCGTCCTTGCAAGCTTCCCAGGTGGTGATTGCCACCTCTTGGCTTTCATACCAGGTATGTGCCGTTCCCTTGAGAGAGAGAAGTAGACACTCTGCGGGCGTTTCTCCGGCATCCGCCCATTGTGACGGGCAACTTGCTTATACTGTTCCGTCTGGTTGTCAATGCCTTCGTAAACTTCGCCGCGGAAGAGCGTTGGCGTACGGGGTGCGGCGGGCAGGAACGTAACAGGGGATACAGCAACAAGGGTCTTGGTCAGCTGGCCCCGAGAAAGCATTTTGGGGTTCGTAGACTTCTTTCTTGGTTGTTTCACCACTGGACCAAATTTCGGCAGTTGGCCTCAAGTACAGCAGCTTGCTCAGGCATCGGCTTGCTCCACAGAAGGAAGTTTTCCGGTGCTTCAAATCGATCTGGTCCGGTGGTTCTTTAAAAGCATACGAGGAAAGGACACAAAAAGTTACCCCGCACCTCCAACAGATATCTAGCGGGTGAAAACAGATCAACAAGCGTAAACTGAAAAGAAAAGTATAACTGGCGAACTTATGCCAGAAACAAAAGAAAGAATGAGTTCCGAAACGGCAGCAACCAACGTCGCAGCGTCGGCGTGACAACTGGCTGGAACAAGACTGCGAGGGTGAATGTGCCTCGTCGTCGGGACAGCAAGTTGGCAAGGCTCTGTCGGGCTTCTTATCTGCTACGCTCGGCATCTCAAACGTTGGCCCTAGAATGTTCAAGAGTCATGGTCATGTTGGCTTCCTTTTCTTTTACACTCGGGGCAAGAGTAATCTCGAATCGTCCAGAAGTATAGAGAAGCGTTCCTTCTCGGTCATGGGTGCGGCAATAGGGCCTCAGCCGGCAAAAGAGAGATGGCATTGATGATAAAGACCACAAAAACCTGATTCAATAAAAACCTTAAAAAAATTTAAAAAAAGATTCAAGAGTGTGAAGAGTGTATGCACATCATCAAGAGGAGACAGTGCAGCTAACTCGACCGTCGTTACATTAGCTGACTGCATGAGCGGTTTCGAGACCTACCTGAAGAGTTTGTAGCACTCTTGAACTGTGTGTCTGGTCACACTTTTGCAGTTAGCATAAAGGTTGCTTCGCACGTTTGAGCTCTGATTGGGCTTATGTTTACTGTGCTCACTTTCAACTGTTTACGATGAGAGAAGGCAGCGGTCCCATCTATCAGATAGCACTGCAATGTTTCCAATCCACATATAACTACACTAAAGGTTTTGTAGAGTACTTCTAAGATATAATCTACAAACCATTTATGACAAACGCTCGCTTATAACATTGTCAGAATTATTCCAAGCGTACAGTATGAGAATGATCTGTAAACAGTTATAAAAATATATACGAAGATTGAAAGTGTTCCAGGCCAACCAGGTAGGTTGTGCCAGCGTGGCTCCTTGACGGAAACGTGCGCACTAGCTATGACACGTCCAGTGGGCTGGTCCACGCTTCACACACATACATTTTTAATCCGTGAAACAGTGAGCGGCCCTCGTCAACTACGACTTACGTCATGGGCATCCACCACCGAGTGCACCAGTCGCTCCTGCCTGCTGCAACTTTCTGGAGCGCTGGTCTTCTCTCGAACATCCCAGATGTGCAGGTCGTGGTCCCTGGATGTCGTGGCACAGACAGAGCCTTTCTGGAATTTGAGGTAAAGGTATGACCTCTGGGAGCCGTGACATTTCCTTTTTCATTTGATAAATTTCACAGTTATCCGAACTAATGCACACAATTGCAGGTGAAGAAAAGCAGGATAGCCTTCAAGGTTTTCCACTTTAACAGAGCAAACACTGGAGAGGATGCGAGTGAACTTGCCTCTTCTCCCGCCTCCTCTTTAGTGTTCACTCGCCAAAGTGAAGAGTGGAGACTTTGCACGAAAATCTTGCCCGGCTTTTTTTTTTCTTTTTAGCATTCTTAACATGCAACAGAGTGTAGTTTGCTGCTTTCTTAGTGATGTTAAAAAGGTGGGGAGATACACAAGTGACGAATTTTGGGCAGTTTCTTAGGCGTGGTGATGTTCAACAGCATGGAGTGGCTGGAACTCGCGAGTTCGAGGTAACAAAGTCCGTGGCATAGTACTCTATCTGTGGCGTTATCCTTACCGCTCCTAAGTTGGCACTAACGGCACGGAAGATAAAAGAAATTATCATAACGAATGTGAATTATGTGTTTTAAAGGTTACGGAAGGGTATATACAACATTTGCTCCTAAACTGACAGTGTAGAGGAAGCTATGTGCTCATTGGACCAGCCCTACATTTATCTTTTGCCACATTATCACGTTTTTGCTTAAAACCCACACGGAGAAAGGGGGGTCAGGCAACGAAAGGAAGGTGGTCCGGTGACAGCTTAGGTGTTAAAGGGGCATAGCCGAAAAGGAACTGATGAAAACTGACTGGATCAAGGTAAACTTTTTGGCTGCTTGAAGCAAACAGGTGACAGCAGAAACTAACCACTCACATCTATCAGCAAAACAGAATTGAGCGACCCTTCGTGGGGGTCACGAATGGTTATTTTTGCCATCTTGTTTTCCCAGTCGGTCCATTGCTCGAACTGGCGCTCCCTCTCAAGGCAGGTTTCCTTCCAATCAACGCTTTCGTTGTCTGCGGAAAGATGGAGTTAAATTAAAATAAACCGTTTCAAAGTTCGCCGCACTCTCACCTGGTGCTACCGGATACTTCTTGGGCCACCTTAGGAACAGCTTCTGTTGCCAGAAGCTGGAGTCGCTCAGCACGGCCGAAAAACGCGTGCACACTTTACTCACTACGCTGACCACAAACTTGGCGTCCAGCGAATAAAATATCCGAAAGAGTATTTCGTTCGGTAGGGCCTCGAAGCACGCCTGCGCAGGCCTTGTCGTCGTCATCCTTAAACCTGAAAACGAGTCACGAAAAAGAGCAATTTCGAGTAAATACATACACCCACACTCTGCTATGTATCATTGTTTTCTTTGGTGCTCACCTAGTTGGCATCAGCGACAAGGGCGACTCTGGTAGGCGTTCGCTATGTGCAAGCGTAAACAAATTCGGAACAAAGGCTTACGTAAGCTTTTCACGTTCGTTTCAGGGGCAAGTGTCTTTGCTGTGTCCCATTTCACGAACCAGTGACAGAGGCTGTAGCATCGCGGAATCGCGCGCGGCACAACACACGATCGGGGTTTTCAAAAGAATCGAAAATGGCGCACACACTCTGTATCCAGTGCAGTGTGCTTCCAGCTTCCAGCTCGTCAAAGCTGGAAGCTTGCCTGACTTGCTGGTTGGTAGAAACGGGTACGACGTTGTTCGCTACCAGCACTACCAGCCGGGTCGCAGCACAGAAACAGCGGTACAGCTGTTTGAGGAAGGAGAAGCACCGACAGTCAGTCTAGAAAAAATAAAGTTCCAATATAACAGTAGGGTTACATATAGCGCCGCCTAGCATGTGGGGATTTTAATAAATGAACAATTTACAGGAACTGCGAACCTATCAAAGTTCTATCAATTAATTTCTTTGAATTTGAATTTTTTTGTATGTTAACTTTATTTTTTAAAATTTACCTCCTCATTCACTTCAAATATCGCCCGAAGGATAGGAAGTTTCGGTTTCCTATTAGAACGCATATCTGCACCACCTCGCCTCTCTCGTAGGAGTTAGTATGTATGATCTCTATGCTCGTAGGCTTGAAGTAGCAGAGGGAAGTGTGGTGCAAGCTGGCGTTATTTGGTCTAGAGCAGAGTAGCGCAATCTAGAACGCCGTCTCTCGGCGACTAGCGGCGAACGCCCGGAGGTTCCAACTGCGGTCAGAAATGCATGGAGAACGTGAGAAAATCGTCGTTTCTTCAGTTTTGTGGGGATCTGCGGAATGGAAATCATTTTTGACATAATAATGAAACATTTTAGAATAATATGCGATAAGTTTTGTGCCATACAAGGACGTAACTTTTTTTTAAAAATTGCCTGAGCGGCATCATGCAGCAGACGACACGGCGACGTCACACCATTCACGTGACCCGCTCCGGCCAACCCGAAAAGCCCATCTCCGCTGCGAGCCAAAATCGTCTGCTTCAAACGCCATTGCCTTGGAAATTGCCTTCTCAAACTTTGCACACGCATCCGATATTATTGAAACTTTGATAAAGTGTTTAGCGCTTTACTAACTTCAAGACAGGCTAGTTTTGAAAAATGTGAACTCGCCGTTAGTTTTTTAATCAGCCATGTTATGTCGATCTCCATGTATTCTCCCATAGGGCGGGCCGCCTCCTGGTCTGCCTCCTGGAACCCTGAGTACCACGTGACTCGCGCCGAGCCGCTCTGTCGGCCATGTTGTCGGCAAAACACGGAGTTCAAAGGATTGCGCTACTCTGCTATTTGGTCCACCTTCGTGATTCGAATAAGGATGCGCTTTGGCCGGCAGGACCACTGGTACAAAGAGGCGCCCCAACAAAAAGGTTTACGGGCGACACTTTGCAGACGTTTTGACGTCGTCTGTTATCGTCGCCGCGCGTGCGAAGAATGGAAGAAGCCCTCTGATTCTCTCCGCTCTTGGCGCCAGGGAAGCCAAGTTTTTCGGGTTTTTCTGTCAGCCGCGTAGCGGGGAGCCCCGGCATCCCGCCAGTAACGACGGGATGAAGGGAGGGTTTTCCTGTCGTCTGCTTGAAAGTCTTGTTTTCAAACAGAAAATCCGTACCAACGCGGAGCACAGAAGTAGTGATTGGGTTAGTGTGCTGTGTTGTATTGATGTTTGAATGTGGCGTGCGCTGATCTCTTCCCGCTCCCGCGAGGGAAACCGCCGGACGGCCATCTTGTTCATAAACAAGTTGCGGTTTCGCTAGCGTTACAGAGACTGGCGGCAGCGCGACACCCCCTGAGCTTGACACCCCCCTGGGTGCAGCGCTCAGGGGGGTGTCGCGGCGGGCTACGAGAGCGGGGGGGGGGGGGGGGGGGGGGGGGGGGGGGGGAAGGGGGGTGGGGGGGGCCTGTCGCGGCGGGCTGCCGCCCTGGGTACCGCTGACCCTCGTGACGCTACTGCCCATGAGGATGACCTTGTCCGAATTCACTAGTTGATTTCTAAAGCTGGTAGTTCTTTGTTTTGTTTATAAACTATTACGATCGATTTAGTTTTACCGTTAATATTGATACTTGTTTTGGTGCAAAAGGTACCACTGTTTTTCATCTCAATGCCCGCTCCGTAAAACATAAAGTAGATTACATTGTCACTCTTTTTGAGATGTTTGTAAAGTTACTTTTGACGTAATGATGTTTTCCGAAACTTGGTGTCAATCTGACCAGGATGTGTTAATCTTACCAAGCTATAATAACTTTTCCCTGAATAGAAGTGGACGCAGAGGGGGTAATGTTTCAATTATGGTAAATAGGGACTTTCAGTGGGAAAAGCTACTTTCGTTTACGCAAATTACAGAGGAATTCGAAATCTTGAGTTTGAAATGTAAAAATACACTGTTTTCTGTTGTTTATCGTCCGCCTCCAACAGATTTTGGCAATTTGTTTTTCTTTGTTGGACAGCTATTTAGAATTTGCGTCTACAAATAATTTATCAGTTATCGTAAGAGCTAATTCTAATGTTGACATGCAAAAAAAAAAAATCGAGTCTGTCACTGCAACTAAATAACACTATTGCTTCCTACAGGTTTTTGAACATTATCTCGTCGCCCGCTAGAACAACATGATTCGTCGGAAAGTATAATCGAGCTTTTTGTTACAAATGGAGGTAAGCGAGTAAACAGTGCTGGCACAATTTCTAACGACATTAGTGACCATCAGAGGTCGGCATTTTAGGTCGCCCTCACTCACCCTCACCCTCAAAGCCACACTCACCTAAACCCCTCACTCACCCTCACAGCTACACTCACCTTCAGCCCCTCACTCACCCTCACCCTCACAGTCACACTCACCTTCAGCCCTTCGCTCACCCTCACTGAACCTCACGGCCCTCACGGCGCTCACGCCCCTCACGCCCCTCACCGCCCTCACGGCCCTCACGCCACTCACCGCCCTCACCGCCTTCACGGCCCTCACCGCCCTCACGGCCCTCACCGCCCTCACGGCCCTCACGGCCCTCACCGCCCTCACGGCCCTCACCGCCCTCACGGCTCTCACGCACTCATAGCCCTCACGCCATTCACCGCCCTCACGGCCCTCACCGCCCTCACGGCCCTCACCGCCCTCACGGCTCTCACGCACTCATAGCCCTCACGCCATTCACCGCCCTCACGGCCCTCACCGCCCTCACGGCCCTCACCGCCCTCACACCACTCACCGCCCTCACGCCACTCACCGCCCTCACGGCCCTCACCGCCCTTGCGGCCCTCACACCCCTCACGCCCCTCACGCACTGATGGCGCTCACGCCACTCAGGCCAGCTTCAGATGGGGCAATTTCGCCAGAAACTTCACGTCGCAACACCAGCAACACGGGCCGGCCCGCGATCACCACGCAGCAACCAATTGCAGCAATTTGCCATCGTCATCATAAAATTTTATTTTTCTTGCACTATTTAGACAAAATTACGCGTTATAAACGTGTTTTTATGCATTTAAATCTCGTTAAGAATACTAATGCACCTTTCTGAAACAGTTTATTTCCAAAAAAACGATCAATTTCAAACCCGAGCCAAGTCTTTCGGTGTCATCATCACCGGCACGAGGTATCACGTGAAAATTTTGCGTCCCTGATTGGATGCAGCCGCTTCAAACGCATTCGAATTGCTCCGAGTTGCTTGCTTATTTCGAGCCGGACCCGATCTCAGCAATTCGTGTTGATCTAGGGAAAGCTAGAGAACAACCCACCATTAACACCAAAATTGGTGAGAAAGATGCTCGATTTGAAGGGAGCCTCACGCACTCACCGCCCTCACGCACTCATGGCCCTCACACACCTCATGCACTCACCGCCCTCACGGCCCTCTCGCCTCTCATGCCACTCACTGCCCTCACGCACTCATGGCCCTCACACCCCTCACGCACTCACCGCCCTCACGCCACTCACCGCCCTCACGCCCCTCACGCACTCATGGCCCTCATGCCCCTTACCGCCCTCACCGCCCTCATGGCCCTCATGGCCCTCACAGCCCTCACCACCCTCACGGCCCTCACGGCCCTCACAGCCCTCACGGCCCTCACAGCCCTCACGGCCCTCACCGCCCTCACAGCCCTCACGGCCCTCAGAGCCCTCACCGCCCTCACGGCCCTCACTCACCCTCACACTCATGAATATTCCTGGTTCGGAAACTCACTCACCCTCACCTCACCTGTGAAGATGAGGGTGAGTGAGGGTGAGTGAGGGCCCTCATGAGTGAGGTTTGCCGAGGTATGGTGACCATGCTCCGATTTTTGTTTCTTTCTGTGATTTAAACATAAAAAATAAAATGAGAAAAAAAAAAGTTTTTCTTTTCAGGACATATCTGATAAAAACTTGCTGGCGTTTGGAAACGAGATGGCAGACATAAATTGGACGCCAGTTACGTTACAAGCAAACATTGATGACGTTCCTTAGCATTAAAAGAAAAGCCTATCACAGATGCTTTCCTTATAAAACAATTACTGAGTCAAAAAAAAAAAAACCGAAAACCTTAGATTACGTTTTTACACCTAAAAAAGTCATGCATAAAAATGTTTATACAGAATGTTTCTTACTACAAGGGACCCTAATATATTGATAATATTTAAAAAGTATCGTAATGCTCTGAGCCGCTGACTTCGAACACAAAAAGGCCAAATATGACTACTACAAAACTTTATTCAAGAAATGTTTAAAAAAATAAAAAAATAAACGTCCAGGTATGTTGTCTGGAAATCAATAAATGATATATTCTCCAGCGTGATAAACAACATAATTATTTAGGGTAACTCGAGGTAGATGGAAGTTTGCTGTCTGGAGCCATATTGGCCGAGTGTGTAACTCTCACTTTCTGAACGTGGCTTCGAGTTCATACTGCAGTGCTGCAATAAATGGCATTTCTCAAATTATTAGTGAATCTCTGTTTTTTAATCCAACAAGCGAACATGAAGCGTTTCGCGTATTTATGGGCGTAAAAAAACAGCAAAACTTGTGATATTGACGATCTTCAAATAAAACCGATTAAATTTGTTCTTGGTATAATTACACCATGCCTTATACATATTTTTTTTTTTAATTTGTGTTTTTCATGCAGGTAATTCCCACACAAAAAAAAAAATGAAACTTGCCAAAGTGTCTATGATATATAAGGGAGGCGACAGAAATGTTCTGCCAAGTTATAGACCCATATCCGTTTTGCCTGTTTTTTTTAACGGAATTGAAAAGATTATCGTTTGTCGTCGTGATAGTTTTCTCCAGAAACACTCTGTAATTACAAAATTCCAGTTTGGCTATAAAGAAAAAGAAAATCTACTGAATCCGAACTTCTTTTACTGAAAGATATAATATTACAGAATATGAAAAACAAACTCTTGCTACTTGGCATTTTGATCAATTTCAGTAAAGTTTTTAAATTGCTTCAATCATAACATACTTATCGACAAGCTAAGCAGATATGGTATACGTGGTACATAACTTTCACTTTTATCCTCATAGGCAATCTGTAGTAATCGATGGCCATTTCTCATCAATGTTACAGATAAAGTACGGCGTGCCACAAGGTAGTATTTTGGGTCCATTTCTTTTTAATATTTATATCAGTGATCTTTTGAATATTACCGAAAATGTCCTTTTTGTCTTGTATGTCGGCGACAGTCTGTTCCCCAGTGACGCAAATGCGGATAACCTAATAACCAAAGCAAACTTTATATTGTATAGTTTTTTTTTTTTTTTTGTGGTCGCAACCAAAAGGGCTTATATAATAATGAAACAAAAAAGGCAATTCTATTCAAATCGTTCAGTAAACACGTAAATATAAATGAAACTCTCCGTTTTCAATCTATACCGATTGCATTAGTGAAAGAACATAAAACATTAGGAATTATATTTTCAGAAAACTTACAATGGGATAAGCACGCGAACTAGGTTGTCAATAAATTATGCAGAATTGTTGATGTACTTGCACGTTGTAGAGGCATTCTCCCGGAAAAAAATAAAACTTCAGATATATCATCCGTTATTTAAATTCCAAATAGCTTATTGTCATCTCGTTTGGGGAACGAACGACCTCATGGACAAATTTGAACAAAATATCATTACTAGAAAAAAAAAAAAAAAAAACTTTCAGTCTTTCTGCTTTGGTGAAGAAGGAAGAGCAGCGGAGTGTAGCTTCTGTTCTCAGCGGTGGCTTTCCAGGCAAGCGTTCTGCTCTTCTTTCGGAAGGGGTTCTGAAGCGCTCGACGCAGTGTAACTTTAGGCCTCGCAGCAGTTGCCGAACCATTCGCGCTGCTGCGCACATCGCCGCTCGTTCCGTTATACCTCTTCTTCCTCCGAAGAAATGTTGCCGCCATCTGTGAGCGACGGCGGCAACCAGAGTGTTGTGTCGACATTTCTTTGGTACCGGACACGATTCTGGGGAAACTAGCCCTTAACAGCTCCGCTGTAAAAAGTGTTTTGCGCTTTGTTGGAAACGTTCATTTCTTAGCCCACACAGAAGTTCTATTTTCAGGATACAAAATTGTAAATATACATCTATTTTATGAGTACCTTTCGACTCGGTCTTTTCGATTTTCTTCCCCTGAATGCATGTATTAGTTTTCTAAAACAGACATCAGGATTGGTCAAAAACATGAACGCCATCCGCATCCATCTACTCAGAGGTATGGAAAGTGTCTCCGTTTCGTACGAACTACAGTTACCAGTCTTTAAAACATAATCGACCTTCATTGCTCAACAAATATCATGTAGGTTACGTGGACATTTAGTTACTTACTTGATGAACAACCAGTAAAGCGGGTCGAGGAGGACAAGTATTTAGGAAACTGAACTGGAACCAGCACTTAAAATTGACGGTTAACAAAGCGAGGGCACTTTGTTTGCGTGTCGCAGGAAATTAAAATTTGCTGATTTTGACACTAAAGTTATTGCTTATAAAAGTCTTATTAGGCCTGTGCTAGAATATGGTAGTTTAGTATGCTGCTCTTTCACACAAAATGGCACATTAAGAAGCTTGAAAGTATCTAAAATTTAGCTGCTCGGTTTATTTTTAATGATTATCGTAGAGAAACATCGTCCACTGAATTATTTATTAGAACGAAGCTTCAGCCGTTGCAAATAAAAGCAAAAATTGATGGATTAAGATTACTGTTCAATAATACTTAACGGCACTCTTCATGTTCAAAGCTCTAACTATATACAACCATTATCGACTGGGTCCTGACGTCTAAACCACACAAGAGCGTTAAAAGAATACAAGTTCAAAAACGACTGTTTTAGATATCCTTGTTTCCCTCGGGCAATTAAAAAATGGAACGAGCTACCAAATGATGTCGTCGTCAACACAACTGTTGCTAATTTTGTATCTGCTCTTGAATTTATACTTAATTGAGTTTTCTTTTATAAATTTGAATCTTGTTTACATGTTTGCACCCACTCCTACCTTGACTCCTTGAGTGGAGCCAGTAGTATTTCAAAATAAAAATAAAAATAATAAATATAAACCCTAAACCGTTGTACTTACTTTTTCTATAGAATTTTTGTGTAAACCTATGAAACCTAGCTCTTTTACGTATGTATTTTACTTGTTGCCTGTTGCTATAATCTCTGCAGTTATTTTTGTGTTCCCGTAGCGATCTGCCAAAGTGCACGGGGCCTGGACCTCGGCAAGTCACCATGCGTTGACGTTTTGTCCGTGGCTCCGGCGTCTGTAACCTGTACAGATGCAAAAATAAAAATTATTATTATTATTATTATTATTATTATATTAATATTATTATTATTACTATTTCTGCTACTGACAACATAGGGACAGGAGAAGGGGCCGTTTGGCATGGCTTCAAAGCTGATAATGTCGGTTCGCTCTATCAAACAATTAATGCTTTCGCATAAAAAAAAAAAAAAATTAGAAAAGTTAAGGGGGGGGGGGGGGGAGGGGGGGTCAGGACGTCTCTTTGGATCCGCATATGGGTACTATGCTCATCCAATTCGAAAGCCGCAGGGGAGGGGATTGAACCCAGGATCCCTGAATTCGCAACTTATGGCGGCGATTCGAAAAAAAAATAAAAAAATATTGTACTAGTGACGTTACACGTGCCACACTATTTCTCAGACTTGGACGTAGTTCAACTACTCTACTCAAACTACTGTAGTTTAACTACTTTTCCGAGTAACTTGCTAACTTTCAATTACAAATTTATTCGGGTAATTAGTAGTTTAATTTAACTACGTTTTTCAGGTAACTTCTACTCAAATTACCAACTACTTTCGAAATTAATCCTATTTATTTTCATCGCAAAAGTTTGAGTGCAGAAATAAATAAGACGCTGGCAGATTAAGTGGTATTCACGAGCAAGGGGCCCCCTCACATTCCGTTCCCACGCACTTACACTCGGCAGCCCTCGAAACTGTATCACAGGCGTCCTTGGGCCAAGGTGGCGACGACAAGCATCCAAAACATAACACCGGCGCGCACGAACGCAGCCAGAGATACTTGACAAGCCTTGGTCGGGTGTTGACCTAATCCGGTAATGCACGCAAGCGCCGCGTTTCCAGCTGCAACCGTGAAAGACGGGGACACTTCGAGGGTTGTTGTTGTTTTCATGTTGTATGCCTTTAGTGAGTCCTGACTCAAGTGGTAGGTTCCACGGTAGGCGCCACTGGGATGACCTCGCAGTCGGGCGCCTGTTCCCATGGTCGCCTCGTCGTCAGCGCATACTTCCTTGCAAAGCCGGACTCCTCCGCGCACAAACGCAGACACGGATAATCCGTTCATGGGAGCACGTTCCCGCTTCCAGCTGCAACTGCATGAGCGCCGATGCTTGTTCACGTAATCCTTCGCGTCTTTCCGACCTTCCACGCCAGGGAGACCTCCTCATTGTTGAAAACGTTTTACTTGTCAGGCGCGTCAGGATACCGCAGTCGCCGGCGAGGATTTTGAGTCACCCTTGGGAGATCCTTTTGTTGGACCCAACGTCAACGGCGAAAAGCAATTTCTTTTTTTTTTCTTTCTTTTTTCAGTGGCGTAGCTATAACATTGCAACGAGACGCGCAGTCGTCCGGATGATCTCATCGTCGTGGCGCGAGACTTGATCCCTTGACGGTCAGGTGCACTCGCTCGGCGAAATCTCCGAACGTCGTGGGAATAAAGAGGGGCCAGTCATAACAATCTCAACTTGCCAAAGAAAAAAAGAAAAAAAGAAAAAAGAAAAAGGAGAGACTCTCCAGCCGAGGCAAGCCTTACGTGTTTCGTCATGGACACCAAAGACGCCGACACTCGCTTACCCGACCCTGCACAGCCTGCTTCTAAAATTGAACGCTGTCTTTGCATCCAGCGCCACGGTGGAACGTCTTTTTAGCTTGACTGAGGTCGCCACTAGAAGGAAAATAGGAAAACTCTCGGATAACAACTTTGAAAAACAATTGCTTTGGCGAGCGAATAAACTATTTTGGAAGTCATAAAATGACTTCATTTATTTCCGGCTCGCAGGGTTTTTCACTGATCAAAACTTCTGTTCATTTTGCTGCCACAAAAACGTAAAAAGTAACTTCAAAAGTAACTTCAAAGTAATTCGCTACTTTTTTACAGTAGTTAGTAGTTTACTCAATTACTATTACAAATGTGTAATTTCTACTCTACTCCAACTACTTTTGGCGTCGATACTCAGTAACTTAACTTAACTACCTTTTTTGAGTAATTTGTACATGTCTGCTGTTTCTACCGTCCAGTGAAGCCACAGCAAATCGAAACATACTCGGCTAGGTGCGTCTGTTGTTGGCAAAGCACTAAAGAATGGAAATTTGGTACTGACACAGCATTCAGTCACCAGTCACACTAGCAATGACAAGTAAGCCCATGGAGCTCACACACTATTGCCTCATTTCCCTTTTCCACCAATATCGCTAACGAAATCGGGTGAATGAAGGCACTATACAATTGTTTTTCAAAATATAAAATATTTAATCTCACCGCTGGGTAATGAATTGCACGGATTAATAAAATTAATGAATTAACAGCGTTACGAGGAAATGCGAGGCCAATACATTTAACTTGAAGCGCAAAAATACGCGCGCTCTTCTATACTAGTTTCGGTTTCGGTTTCATTGAAATCGATAACACTTTAAATGTATTCCCAACAATTTTGTTTTTATTTTTCGGTTCAAAACTGAAATACACATTCTCGCACATAACTATGTGCATTGTACAGTCACAACCATGTTTATATCTTACGTTTGTCGTTAATAGCAAGTTTATTAGGACTGGCGCTAAATACAGCGCCTCCTTCAAGTTTGAGATGCGTTTATCGACAACTCTGGGCAATCAGCTGGTTGTATGTGTTATTATTCCATTCCTTTGTCAAAGCTGTGTCGGCTGTGTCTAGCGCCGCTCCGAGCATCTGAATGCTCCTAATCATGAATTGCCCTGTTTTGTTACATTATTTGTAACACCGGCGCCCCCGTTCTAGCTTGCCACTTCTACAATCATCCACTCAGGTGAGCATCTGGCTGCGGCTTGTACTTGCAGTCTCCGAAGCCACTAACGTATGTCAGTCCTTTTATGTCAACGGTTCGTTCAACCGAGCGGTAAGGTCTGTTGCTTCGATCATTCGAGGACGCAGTTTGTTAAAACTTTCCGATAGTTTTTGTTTTCTAGGTAACTCACTTTCAACGGTCAACCACGTCCAGTTTAAAGTGTCATTACGTTGTAACCTCACTTTCTCTCGTGACACAGCGAAAACTTCTCAGATGTGTGGCATTGAAAAACAAACAAGAAAAGTACGATTCGAGATCATATGAGACCGACTTTACATCCCAGTTTGTGGGCTATTTCGTTTCCTATTCGTGTCAGTTTACCCTGCTTGAAAACCCGTTGGCGTCCGGCGTCACGACGGCTATGCCTTTTGTCTGCTTTGCAATGTGAAGTTCCCTCTTTTTGGCAGGAACGGTAGGTTGCAGTGGTGCCCTCCGAGAAAGGATGTCTGCGGAATCGGACGCCGACTCGATTCACCCGCACTGCCTCAACTGCATTAGCATCGTCAAGTGCAACGCCCGCTCCGAGCAGCGGAAGAGCTGCCAAATCGTCGCGTGCAAGTTGGATTGTGGGGCGAGTTTCCACTCCTGCAAGTGCCAAGAGCATCAACTGCTGTGTCCAAACGTCAAGGTGGGAAGTTTCCGTCCACTGCCCTTTCTTGCTCACGTGCACCTGTAACGTTTCGTCAGCAATCTTTTTTTTTTTTTTTACTACATGGATTGGAGTAAGTTCAGAAGGGGAGCACGTTGGTGAAATTACGTGTTGCTGAAAGAATAAACATGTGGACGGACACGACGGAACACACAAAAGATGTCTCGTCGTGTCTGTCCCTATGTTTACTCTTCCAGTGACGTCTGAATTGGATTGGGTAACTGGTTTCTTTTCAGAGCATACTGGCACTAAAGCAGACTCGCCAATTTCATAGTTTTCACGGGTCGAAGTGGGCTGGAGTTTGGGAAGCATTGATGTAACACATACTGTATTAAAAATATGCGAGGGTCACTGAGAATGGCTTTCTTGGTCCAGGTGCCATGCTCGAATGCAGTCAATGGGTGTCCAGCCTCGCTTCTGCGCAGTCAGCTCGGAAGCCATCTTCAGCACTGCCCCGCCAGCATCCTGTCATGCACGGTCGAGTGGAACCGCTGGATCCTGGACACCGGCAACGGAGCAAGGACAGCGTGCAGTCAGCACACGGGCAGACTTCAGCTGGATCTCGCGCTTGCCATGCGTGATCTACGCTCTCTACGCCAGAGCAACGGCGGCACGTGCAAGACGGCGGAGGGAGTCGCGTGCCGAGACTCCGCTGTGAGTTTCTCTTTATTGTACTCCGTTCACCCCCATGCTGACAGTGTGGCAGAAGTTACGTGCTCGTTGAACCTGTTTTGCCACGTGATCATACTTCTGCCCAGATTTGCACAGAACGGGTTCAAGTTATGAAAGGAAAGCAGCCCTGAACTGCCCTAAACACTGCCACCTTAGAGGTAAACAGAGTTAAGCGCTGTCGGTTGTGTCATGTGAGGGTAAGAGTTTGTTGCCCCAGATATGTTTCCTTTCGGTTGTAAACGATCACTCTACTCTTTCACCTTACGATGAACCGCAGCAGATTCTGCACAGCACTGGTGTGGATCCGAGCTGTGAACAGGGAATGTTGCCTTCATAGTTCGACTAGGACTAGCCAAATTTACTCTGACTATGCCTACATACTTGATGCCTGAATTCTGCAAGTATAACATGCACATTGAGGTGTTCTTAGGCTTACCAAAAGCTGGGCACAATCATGCAGAGTTCAGGAGATATTAGGCCGGTGAAAAGCCAGGTCGTTCACTGCATCAAATGAAATTTTTTAGACCCTAATGCTTTCCATGTGGTATACGAGTTAACATACCGGCAGATCGAGAGCACAGTCATTGATCTTCTCAGAGGCAACGCCGGCGGATCGTGACCAGATGGAGATATATCTTAAAGTTTTGCCATTTATGTCTGCCAGTGACTTTTAATCGCCTCTTGTCCTCGATAAACTAGCTGAATCATACTCGCTGTAATCTTATTTTGAGCCACCAGATTACTGCCCCTATTGATTTGGAAAGTGGTTTCAGTTTCGATTTGAACTTACAATTATCTCCGAATTAGAATCTCTTCTAATTCGGAGATAAGTGATTCTTGACCAGGATCCCAAACCGAAGCTGCATATTCCAACTTAGTACGAACTAATGTTTTATATAAAAGTAATTTTAACGAGCTGGGAGCAAGACCAAAATTTCTTCGGAGATATCCAAGCATGCAGTTGGTGTTATTTACAATATATTCAATGTTACACGACCAGGACAGATTAGCAGATATGTGCACACCCAGATATTTATACAATGATACGGTTTCGAAAGAGAGATTATTTAGACGATAAGAAGCACACGGAGTATCAAGACGGGAAACACGCATAGATTTACACTTATTAATGTTTAGTTTCATTTTCCACAAATCACACCACTCAGAAACACTGTTAATATCTGACTGAAGAAGTGAGACGTCAGAATCACTGTTAATTTCACGATAAATGACGCAGTCATCGGCAAAGAGGCTGAAGGATGAACATATATCAGTGGGCAGGTCGTTATTATTCATGAGAAAAAGTAAGGGCCCCAGAACCGAGCCCTGGGGTACACCTGAGCCAACTGGAGATAAATCTGCATTTATCTAGATTGATAATCAGTATTTATTTATCAAATTAGCCTTTGTAAATTTCATAAATTTTTTTTCTACAAACTTTACCTGTGTTCCCAGCACAGTTTGTGCGCCATGCAGAAAAAATATATTTTTTTTAAAAATAATAAGTTATATAAGCTCCAAATTAAAATATATTGCGTAGCTTTCTCCCCAATAAGGACTCCATGTCTGATTTTTCATGTAGCACACAGACGGCCGATTGTCACGATTTGCTCAAAGAGCCCTGATATCGAGAAAAGCATGAAAAATGCAGTTGGCCTCAAGAATGGGACCCAAACTAGCATTATGAGCGTCCGAAATGTTGCTGTCACCCCCCTGGTGACAATCCTCCACGAGTTCACATTCGGTTTTCATATAGCACGTACACTGTACGAAATAGCTTGTGGATGCTGGTGCTTTTTCACATTTTAATTGCACAGGGTTTTGGCGAGCACTAATTTTTATTTTGACATAGTGCCCCGAGGGGGTTCTTTCTCTTACCAAAGCAGTTTTGACGATAACCCTCGATTTGTAAGAAAAAATCTGCTAATCGCTTGCTCGTGATAACGGTGTGGCGCTATGTGCTTGGAGTAGCTGATAACACATCTGTAGCTTCGTGTTCATGACGTGGTCGATGCAAGTTCCAAACTCTGCGCACCTTACAATAGTCGCTTACTTTGATGGCTATGAGAAAAGCACTTTGATGTTGCATCTGATTTCAGTATCTGTGTGTTAATTTTTATATGTTATTTACTTTTACTATCAGCCCCTTCTGGGGCTGTTACAGGAATGTAAAACTATGCATAAATACAAATCAAAAACAGGGGCTTTCTAACAAGCCATATAATCAGCAATAAGAAAAATAAAAAAAATGGCTGCAGTAACACGAGATTAGGCTAACCAAACATTTCCAAATGCAGCTGCAGAACGGACAGGCCGCGCCACAACTCAGGAACTGCGATGGCGTGGACAAGTCTTGCGAGAGTGCGCCGGATGCGATGAACGTGGACGAATGCAGTGTGAACAGTGGGGGCAATTGTGGCGTGGGCGACTACCGGCTGCTCACCGCTTCCGGCACGTGCTACCTCTCCAAGCCTCTGGCGACCCCGGAGGTGGAGCTTCATCTTGAATTCCTCACCCGGTACCAGACGAAGCCCGAGAGCCTGCACACTTTTCCTTGTGCTCAGGCATGTGACTTTGGCCATTTTTCGTGCTTTCCTTCTTGTTCTCATTGTATTTGTGAAACACAGAGAGTGAGATATTGAGTCGGGGAGGGACTGATGTAGGACAAAAAGGAGAGAGGAAGTTGTTGGTGCGGATTAGCCTGTTGCCCATAGACTCGTGACGCAGGAGCTGTAGGTAAGGTTAGGCTGGCATGTGACTATCTATTCATTTTAGTGATACCGTAGGGTGTATGCAGTGTGAAAGAACTGTGCATCAATTTTAGTGCTACATGACTGCATTTCCTGAGAAACTATGTGTGTGAGGCTGATTGATTGTGGTACAGTGGAATCTCATTGATTCAATTTTCACAGGAACCAAAAAATAAAACATATCACCCGAAAATCGTATTATCCGAAATGAGCTAAAAAATTTCAAATATGCATACCCGGTGAGAAACTTGTTTTTATTCCGCAGCCTTGAAATTGTCGGACATTTGGGTTTGGGCTTTCTTCTTTTCGACATCGATAAACAAGTTCTTTTGAAAGTAAAAAAAAAAAGATCCCGGCCTTCTCGCGGAGAACTTTACCGTCGGCGTTCATATGTCCTCCTCATACTTTTTTAAACCAAGCCACGAGGATCTCTTTCATCTGTGCATGCTGCGCACCTCTCGTTTGCTTGACACTTGCGCCGAAGGCTTGCACCTTGTTGTGGATTTGTTCCCGCTTGCCGACGATAGTGTTAAAAGTAGAAACCGGCAAGCCTAGTTCACGTGCCAGGTCTACACGCTTCTTCTTCGGGTCTTCTTCGACCTTGTGGATAATGTCCTTTTTTTTTTTTCTTTTAGAGACAGCGGCTTGCGTTTCCTTGACATTGTCACGGTGGTTAACGATACCACAAGAGCCGTGAATAGCAAACAGACAAAGCAAGACAGCACATTCGGGAAATGTAAGAAAATGCTCGGAGATGCAAAAATTATGCGAGAGGCGGCCATCACCGCCAACGCTACCTACCAGGCGCAATGCGCACCTAGCCACGTGAAACCAGGGTGCGCTACTTTCCGCTTGGTTGATGACGAACGGCAACGCCCGACTGGGCGGCCATGTTGGAACACCCCAGTGCCAACTGTGGCTCTCCTGCTGTAGCCGCGCAATGGGCCGTTCGTGGCTCGTTAGAATTGGATTCGAGCTTGTGATTCCAGTATATATACTGGAATGTAAAGGCATAATTTTTTTTAATGCCCCTGAGAACCAGCTTTTGGAATAGTATTATCCGATTCCAAGCAAAAATAAAATTGTATTGTTCATATCGAAATACATTGCTGCTATGGGATGTTGGCCGAGAATGAAAAAAAACGTATTGGTACCGAAAAATATATTATGCCGAATCGTATCAACGAGATTCCACTGTACATGCACGTTCCTCTCGCTAGAATGAGGCTTGAGGCAGATGGAGCACGGCAAACACTGCACGGAGCGCAACATCACTTCGACGCGTCTAAAGTTTCACCTTCCGACGTCCTCGGCTGCAGGGTTTCCGGCGCGACGAATATGCCTGGCACTACCAGAACGTCCACCGGGACATCCACGGCGGCCTGAACGGCTGGCTGGAGCAGCGCTGCCCCCTGGCACAGTACGGCTGCGGCTTCTCGAGACGACGCTTCGTCCCCGCGCCGCGGGGAACGGAGATCGTGCACAGCGAGCTCCTCGAGAGCTTCGGCGTCACTTTTACTGCCCAGCACCGAAGATCTCGGTCCCCAGAAAACCGACAAGGTGCTGCAGAATCGTGAGTGGGCATCCATCCAGGGGATCCGGTGTTGGCCCAGCTTGGGTCAGTAGAGATGTTGGCGAATTCGGCCAGGGTCCAAGATGCAACCTACCGTAAAATTCCGTAAGAGCGCCGTGCCCCGAGAGGTCGGCCGTCCAGTTTCTCTGGCTAAATAGATAGAACATAAAAATTTGTGAATGCACAATGTCTAACGGGGCGTCGGACATTGTGCGATCTGCGGTACGGGTACGTGTGACAAGGGAGCTCGTAGTGGGGTTCACAGGTTTTTTTCTGTGATATACGCACACATGCAGTCTTGGTGTGCGTAGAGGACGTGCAAGTTGATGCCACGTGTTTATTGCGTTGTGAAATGTTAGTCTTCTAAGTTCGTAATCTGCGGTGTCGGTCCCCATGGCATGCGGATCCATAGCGGGTTCCCGCGTTTTTTGTCCGCAATCTGCACACACTGTTATATTGCTTCCCGCGACATGCGGGTTGATCCCGCATATTTCTCGCTTCGTGACATGCGAGTGTGCTGCAATCTGCAGTGTCGGTTCTCATGACACTCGTGGCGGCTTTCCTCGTGCCCTTCGCACCTTATAAAGCAAATTGCTGCATCCGCAATCCGCTACATCTTTTGTGCCAATCGTGTGATGTGCATGTGTAAACGTCTTTCCAGTTTTTTAGGCTTCTGCACTTTGAGATACGGATAATGCATATAAAAGTAAAGGTATACAAGTTTCTGCTGCTGAAGGGAGCTGCATGCAATGGTTTTATTTTGTCACCTCCTTAGTAGCGTTAGCTCCAGCAAATAAATTATGTTTGAGAGCAATGTCACGAAGTGCATTGTATTGAATGAGATCGGCGACACCAGTTGTCACCAGCTTTTTCCTACCTGTGCAACAGGAAGTTTGGGAGGTGCTTTCTGTTTCCTTTCGCGACTGAGCAAAGTGGCTATGCCAGAGTCCCATTCCAAACCAGATCTGTCATCAGCAGAGACCTTAATGGCAGCTCCCACGAACCTCTGGCACGTAGAAAATGGATGAATCTCTGCGTTTGATGAAGGGGATAAAGATTGCTGATATATTCTGAACGTAGCTCTTTAGTCTCAGTGATGAAAGACGCGTTGTTTGGTCCATTCCTGCGCTCTGTTTTCTCCAATAGAAAGTTGTTCAACGTTTTAAGGGCTTACTCAGGGAGGATTGGTAGGCTACCGCAATGGAGCTCCAAACTTATAAATAAATAGAGTTTTTTTTTTTTTTTTTTCGGTAATTGTTTAAATCAATGTGAAGTGAAACTAAGATAAACAGGGATGTGGGCTTATCAAACTAGTTTTGAGCCCTGTACCACAGCCACATTTATGTGGGTTTTTCCCGCATAATATGACCGATTTCAGATTAAGGCCTTTTGTAAACAATGGACCCCCCAGATATACTTCAAATTTCAGCCGAAATTGGCTTAGTTTCGGTTTCTGGATTTTGCTCATTTTGGACAGGAACCTCTCAAATGTTCTCTTTCTATATCTCTCGCTCTCTCTCCCCCTCCCTCCCTCTGTCCAGTGCAGTTTTTGTACTCATGGTTACTCTGAGTAGCTTTAGGTTGTCCCTGACATCATAGTAATTTCCAAACTACTTTCAGGTCTAGGTCCTTGGTCCGCTCTTCTCAGGGGCCTCCCATGTGCAACGGTCACAATGAACCTCGCCGTGTCCCCAGGCGGGGTAGGGAGCTGGAATTTACGGACTTCCCTTACGAGGTGTGTGTTGCAAACTCTGGGGAATGCTCCTGTTCAACTGGCAGGTAGAACGAAGAGGACACTTTGTTTTGCCAGAAAAATATCCCTTACAATGAACTTTGTTTTCTCAATCGAGGCGATGAGACACCACGGTGATTTGCCAGCAGTTTTATGAACATCTGTTTCGCAGCTCTGCTATTGATAACTTACAAGCGAGAAAACACCATCCCCGCCGCTACGCTTTGTTTAATCTTGTGTCGAACTGAAGCAGAAGGCTAGGAGCTGTGATACGGCCTTGGCAAGGCATTCTTACGCATCGCAAAGTAGTGCAAGAAAGTCTGATAGTACAAGGCACGTGGCCTTTGTCCTTAATGTAATGTTTGTGTTTTGTACCAGTGAAACATAATTTATGTTCTAATGAAGCTCTCAAACGCAGCATTTAATATATAAATATGTAGCACGTTAGAGGAAACTAGACTTCTGGTTGGCAATGCCGTCGTTGCCGTCACTTTCACTTACTCAACATTCATGGCACCATAGCCGATGCGACGCACCTTTAAGAAAAATATCTTCAGATTGAAGGCTTCATATTTAAATGTGATTATCTGCAAACTGAGCCCGAGTTGGATATTTATTGGAACAAATAATTTGAACTTTAGAATGACCTTGCTGTCTGTTTAAAATGCCACCTGACAAGTGCAACTGTGCTTTCACTTTTGTTTGCCGTAATGTACGCAGACGTCTTTGCCGGGGGCCCCTGTATTTCTTTCGCCAGCTTGCTTTTAGAGAGTTTTCGGGGGGAAAATATCCGCACTTGGAAGAGAAGCGCGCAAATTGTGCTCGACGTGTACTACAAACTTTGGTCTGAGCCTCCGAGCGAGTAGTTTGGGACGATCGTTCAAAGAACATCCGAGCTCTGGTGAATGCGGAAACAAAGTGCCAGTGGCAGCATGTCTGGCGTCGCCGGCAAAAGGACGTTTGATTGTTTGTGCCGCATGCCTTTATTGATATTGCAAAAAGGACAAATATAGCCTCCTTCCGCCACGCGTGCTTTGTCAGTCGCTTCTCATAGCTCTCTGTAGCATAGTGTTAGTAGAGTTAGAAAAAGTGGCCGTCGGCGCTTTCAAATTCAACAGAGCAGCTCTGACCTGCAAGTCCATGCAGGCGAGACATTTTCCAAGGGCGTTAGGTTGGAGTCAACATTCCATTGCCCATGCCGACCTGGTCTGTTGCGTGACGGAAAAGTCTTTAATTTTTCGTGTGCACAAGAAGTGAAGAGCTTCTGCAGACCCTGCTTCCGTTCAGGGGTGGATCCGGGGGGGGGGGGGGGGGGGAATTTGTAAGGGTACTATTCTCTTATTCTTTCTTGTGCACCGGGGGGTCCGCCAATGGCGAATTGCCCTCCGAGAAGGGGGAGGGGGGGGGGGTCAACTTTGTTTAGGGGGGCGGCCACCCCCGTCGCCCCCCCCCTTGGATCCGCCACTGCTTCCGTTCATTGTGCTAGGTCTCTGTGATAGCATACTTTGCCCTCTCGGTGATCCCGCTCATAAATGTAGACTGCTCAGCCGTGCGTCAACCTTGGTACGTCAAGAGGTTCCAGCCACGATCACCAAAGATACTTGAGTTTGTGCAGTAGATAGAGCAAATTACGCAAAGTTTGAATTTTCTCGAATATAGCAGACATCAGCGTGTGGCTCGGGTTTGTTAAACTAGCACTCAAACAGAAAAAGTGCTTCACTTAGAGGCAGGGACAGTCAAGGTCACCTGGGTGCTCTAAGAACCCCCGGGTTCAGGGATCTCTCTGGAATTTACCGAACTCCCAAATTTCCTTGATCATCTCCATCCCTATGTAAATCACTCTTCCTGTTTAAGTTCTATTTCGGAAGGTTGCAGCCCCCCACCAACGCATAACAATCAGCCAATCACTCCCTAGTATGTTTAATGTTACAGGGATGTCCCGTTAATACGGACACCTCCGTTCCTCCAAGAAAGCTTTCATAATGTGAGGTGTTCATAATAATGAGACAAAAATGCACAAATTTACCCAGTTCGTACCCGAAAGTGTTGTCTATACATGGCGAGATATCTGTGGATTTTACTAATAGCATATTGCTTAGTGGGCCACAAGAAAGAGAGTAGAAAGTCAAGAGCCTGCTTTTTGGTACGAGAATATGAAAGCGTGGCAGACTATTCCGTACCTCTCTTCCTTCGAAAGGTCTCGACTTTTTCACTGTGATACATCCGCGGTAGCCAAAGCACGTCGGCCGGCACCAGCTCATGCATTGGTCATGAGGACTACGTCACCATACTATCTCGCTATCCTCCGTTTTAGCATAAGCTACAGTGCAGTGGGAGCTACGCGCTTTCTGGACCAATCGGCCGCCTCCCCTTCATCACCTGACCTCGTTCTCTACGCTTGGATATGCACGAGGGAGCGTGATCACGTAGCAGAAGATGGGAGCATGGCTGGCCCAACGGGCACGTAGCTTCGACAGCGCTGTCAGCTTAGGAGGGAATGGAGGATAGTTGCACACACACTACTGCAAAAGCCACGGGCAGGGGAAAGGGAAAACAACTTTCGTCCAAATTTTGAGCGACGGGCTAATCTCCTAGGATGGCAATGTTCGAGTACACAATAGAGAGTTCGAGCACACAAACGAGGGTTTGAGCTAGAGGGGAGTTTCTCCCTTTCCTTCATCTTGAACTGCCAGCAGTATACTCTTCCCCCTGTACCTAAGCTGAGATGGAAGATTTTGAAAAATCATTTTATGGCCTTAAACGGGGCCGGTATTAACGAGACATGACTGCTTTGATGGCCTGTAGGCTTCCTCACCACTTTGTTGTATTAATGCCGAGACTGCAAAGTGTTGCTCGGCTATCAAATCAAGAAAAATTGGGGTTCCTCAGCATTAAAATGTTTGAAAATGCATAATCTTGGGGAAAACACTTTTTCTTTCCACTCAAAAGATTTTTTTTTTTTGGCACACTATTCACCGGACCCAGACCTGGAAACTGGTACTTGTTGCAGGTCCTGCAGCACATAGCCCAGTTCCTGGACGGCTTCAGCCTCAACAACTTCTCGCTGGTGTCACAGCGGTGTAGGGACGTGTCCTGCAGCCTGCTCAAGAGCAGGGGCATGGTGGTGCTCAAGTGGGAGCGGCAGGCCGCAGGCTGGAGGGTCGGCTCCAAGGTGGGGCTTGCTCACTGTCCTTTCTCGTTGAGCATCGCCGCTTTCTATACTAGTATTCACCTCGAGAAGCTCAGTGAAAATGTCTCTCTCTTTGTGGTTAATTAAGATGTACCGTATTTGCACGAATATAACGCGAGGGCAGGTTATAATGTCCTCAAAAAGAAAAAAACTATAGCTATTATAACACGAGCTGAGGTCGCATAAAGTTATCACACTCGGGTGATTAGCAGAAGTGAAAAGGGAATAGAATTGAAGAAATCTTGGTGATGTTCTGACTGCACTCATTCTCACTGCTCAGGTCCTCCTCACTGTCGCGTTTGCAATCCACTTGATGACTTCACAGATACGCAGCAGCACCACGCTGCTTGTCTGGTAGTTTCTTTTTCTTCGGTGTGAGCTCCTCGGCCGCCCGTAAGCAGAGTAATGCGCACGAAGCAAAAGCATCAACACACAAACAGCAGACCACTCTGGAGCGGAAACTAAAAAAAGGACAAGCAGAAAAAAGACATCTGGGCCCGATACACGATCACTCTCTCTTGTTCTGGTCATTAAGGTAGCAATTTGGACCAGTTGGTTCATGATCAGCTAAAGAAGCGCAAGGAATACAAGGACGAGGAAGTAAACAGACAAGAGCGCACTTGCGACTGGTCTTTATTTGTCAAAACAATCATATATATATAGCTTCGAACTAACACATACTCCCTCCTAAGTTCTGTTTAACCCCCCCGTAACAAGAAGGAACCTCCTTCTTGTTATGGGGGTTAAACAAATAATAGAGCCACCAAGCTCAAAATAGAAATGCGTGATTGTCGTTTACGGATATTCGGATCGTGCTCAACCTATTTCTGAACATGACGGGTATATTTCGAATTTTGTTGAAGTATCCCTTTAAAAGGATTGAATTAGTTTATTTTACTTGGCCTCTTTTTTGGGCATTGCCATGCCTCACGTATGCACAAGGACACACTTTTTTTCTGAATGTACATTGCATTGAGAACAACTAATGAGTCTTTGGGACAAGTTACCTTATATGATTATGCCGAATTAGCAAAAAGGTAATGCATAGTTATAAGGCTTTTTTTATATTGGTGTTTTTTACTTACTTTTCTGACTACTGTTCCACAAAACCAAGCAAAAGTATAACTCAACAATCTTGAATGCTTTATTATTAGAACAGTGATTTCGTATGAGTGAATGGAAGTATAAGTGGAAAAAATGATGTGCCACATTAAAAGTGGCAAGGATGCAAATAAAGCGTGACAGCTCGGGTGGATGCCTTTTGCCCCTTTTGCTTGAACTACCATTTGTTAGACTTTTCTGCAGCCCCTTGATAAAACTTTCACTTTGCATTTCATACAAGCATCAAGAACCAGTGTTGCGTGAACGCGTGAGACACGGGCCACACGCGAGTACTTTGCCCCCATTTTTATCCAAGGGCCACACGAGGCACAATCCTCACACTGGCATGTTTAACGCTACCCGTGAGACACACAAACTCGTCAAGGAGCTTTAGACTCATTGTTCCAACAGCACCCTCGTTTTTTCTTATGCGTACGATTAAATTTGTCAATCGTCTTGTGTTTCCAGCGGTGGTTCTTCAGCAACGCCTTCACGCCCATCAGCAAGTGGTACTTTTCGGAAGAGGACAACATGTCGAACCACCTCAAAGACTGCCCCTTCTTCAAGAGGAACATCAAAACAAGGCCTCATTACTTACTGCTTCACTCTCCACAACGGGATGCCCTCGTCCAATCGCAAGCGGAAGGAACTACTGCAGATCTCGTTCTAGACGAACAAACTGTTGACCACAACTACCCGGTGTCCACATTGGTGTGGCATGCACGTTGATCTGGTGTCCACATTGATCTGGTATGTGTGCTGAACCAGTGTCTGCATTGATCTGGTGTGCCCGTTGACCCGGTGTACAGATTGATCCGGCGTGCACATCGACCCGGTGTGCAGATGATCCGGCGTGCACGTTGTCTGGTGCCCACATTGATCCGGTGAGAAAGTGAGCAACTGTTGTGCTACTAACAGGACTAACTTTTTTTGCATCTTTTGCGTGCAATATTTATGGCTTTTATGATATGTAAGACTGGGAACTGCGTTCTCTATGCATGTGATATATGTGGGTGTTTGGCATTGCAAGAGAATTTTCTTTTCTTCAAAGTGAAATTAAACTGCATCTTTTTAGACTGGTCCCTGGTTTTACCTTTGCTTGACTCATGTTCAGTATGCTACTGATTATATTCCGCGGCTTTTCAACCTCGCTCCTGAATCTGCTGGTTCTTGGGCATCTGCAAAACCCATCATTTTGGTTGTTCTAGTGTTTCCACAGCAAATGAGCCTGGATCTGCATTATTTTCAAAAATATTTTTCCAAAATAAGTTTAACAACAAAATACTTTTTTTGATTATTCTGTTGCTACATAAAAACATGGAATTGTAAAGCAGGAAAGGTTCAACTATACTCAAGGACAACTTTCTGTGGCATCTCAAAAATGTAGAGTGCCTTCTTTACTCTTAGATTAGGGAATGACTGACTGTCAGTTATCTGTCTTTCATTGTTTTGTTTTTTCTCATGGTCCCATGGGTGTCAGGAGGGGGAAAGCCACCCCTCTTGCTTTTGCCTTGTCTGCAATTACAAAGTAAAAAAAAAATGTATACCTCAAAAATAGTTTATATACACGCCCATGCATAAACCTCTAGCAATTCCCCCCTCTAGTTAATGTTTGCCTTTTCCAGTAATTTGTATATTTTTTTAATGCCAATGACACTGTCTGAACAAGGAAAGGTAGGTTGTGCTCACTCATTCCTTCATTGATGGATTGTCCTGTTTGACCGATGCATACTGTAAGCAATTATGCTAGCGGTCAAGATTCGTAAGGAGAGCCTTCTCCGCCTTGATCAGAGGATGCAATCGGAACCCAACCAGCTCGATTTTGACCCCTGATGCCGTCACGCCGGCGGCGTGGGAATGAGAAAGAAGGCAGACTACGAGCAACAAGACGCGAGCGAGACTGAGACATTCGCCTATGACAGGAACGAAAACTGGCGCGAATATAGGCCCCTTGTATCAAACTATTTTGGGTCCGGACATTTCATCGAACGCCGTTTCATCGAACGCCGTTTCATCGAACGCCGTTTCATCGAACGCCGTTTCACAGAACGCCGTTTCATCGAATGGCGTTTCATCGAAGCCGTTTCATCGAACGCCTTTTCATCAAACGCCGTTGCAGCCTGTAATATTTTTGTAATTTATTTATATTTTTATACACAACTTAATCTAATTCTTTCTGTTTTTTTGTTTTGTTTTTATATCCCAGCGTGCAGTGACGAGATAAGTTCCGTCATGAACATATCCTGCTTCGAGAAGAAAGCCTCTATGAAACAATGACCCATCCCCATGTCACACGAAACAATTAAAAATGAGACAAAAAAACGAAGCACGATGTGCTTTCCGAGAAGCGGGTAGTGTTTTATTGTCTGACAGCATGTATGTGTAACCTTGGGTTATGTGAGGATCCGGAAGGGTTCAGTCTTCTTGGGTGACAGAGTGCACTCAGGTCTTCACTATTGTCTGGTGCGGGTCGGCCTTCCTCAGAAGGCGTCCTGAAGATCATTTATGGGCAAGAGGGTTGGTGATAAGGATTACAGTGAAGGGGAGGTGGTTCCTGTCTAGGCTTGTTTTGGGGACAAAAGACAAGAAAGTGTGTGGTGAACAGCAGCTTATGTTACCAGAAAACATACTCTGTGGGCCGAAGTCAGTAAACAAAGGGCAACTCAAACTGGAAGACAAACCGATGTCTTCTTTTGTAATTTACCACACAGGATCCGGGATTTACAAGCTTCGTGTTCGAGGTGGGCTATAAAATGGTTCACCCGGTAAGGATTCGTTGATATGGAGATGCGGGAGACCACGCGTGGCAAGCCGAAGCTCTGTCTCGATGGCTACGCGTACGTAGTTGACAAGAAAGTCGACTGCCGGGTTTACTAGGAATCTGAACAATATGGTGAATGTCGGGGTCGTGTCGTTACTGTACGCGATGCATTTAATGGGGAGCACGAGGTCGTCTCGTTGAAACCCCATGAGAACCACCGTCCAGACTATACCCGAGCCGATGTGCTCGAAGCAGTAACAAACATCAAAGAAAAGGCGCTCCGAGTCACCAGCGCACCGGTTCAGATTCTTCAGGTACGTTTTGTGTATTGCCGCTGGGTCACCCCTGCGAACATCTAGACTGTGGACTAAAAAGCGCAAACGACTAAGAGGAAAAGAACTGGGCGGGACAGAGGGCTTACTTACATCGGTCGTAAGTAAGCGCCCTAGCTGTTCTGTCCCCTTCTTGTCTTCTTAGTCCTTTGCGATTTTAATGCAGAGTCTTGATGTTCAACCAACTAGTAACTAGCCCATCAAATGATCTTGATGCACCCCCGTGAACTTTTAACGCCTAAAAATTTAAAGAGCGAAAGAAACAAAAAATGCGTGTCCCATTATACCCGTTATACAAGTCCCGTTATATATATTATGTGCGATATGTGATGAATATCCTGCATAAATATAACCACAAATTATCTTGTGTATAACGCTTTTCATCTTGTCTTTACACAGCAAATCGGTGGGGCCATGAATCCTGAGGCGCGCCAGTCACTTCCAGCTGCGGACGCTCTAGGAAAAACGATACGCAGGAAGAGGGCGTCACTGTTCCCCCCAGAGCAGAGCCGTATATTGGGAGAGTTTGGCCATTCATTGGTATCAATGGGGCGAAAATCTATTGGTCGAATAGTTGATTGACAGGCCACTCGTGGCCAATCACAAGCCGCAAAACCTCCCCTAGCGGTGGTCGTGAGCCTCAAAAGTAAAGCAGGGTTCGGTAATTTCATTTTAGCGTCGCTAGAGTTAAAAAAGTTAACGCTCGGTGACTGAAAACTTGGTGCATGTGAGCTTTTCGTCATAGCCTTCTTCAATGGTAGAATAAACGAATGCGCACGCGGACACGTGCGTTGAAATAACGTAAACAAAAGTTTGTGTAGCCGCGGTAGTTCCGCCGTTCCGGTCTTGTTTGAAAAATGGGTCTTTGTTGTGCTCTGAAGTGCCGGAACAGAGCTTCCAGGGGAATTCGCTTGTTCAAGCTGCCGAAATCCCCGAGGAGACGGAAACTGTGGCTTTCAGGAATCAAGCGTGGCGCGGGGTGGAAACCTCCCGACAGAACGTACCTTTGCGAGGTGAGGTATTGTTCATTGTTAATATTGTGACGCGAGCACAGTGGACGCGAGTGCACTGTGACAAAACCGTGTATTTTGTGATCTATTCTCTACTGCCGTGGAAGCGTCCTGTGCGCTTTCGCTTCACCGCAGAAAGACGAGTGGTTCAGGCCTGTGGCGGTCGTGCGATGATGGATTTGTAAGATCGCGTATTTTGAAAGCGTGAGCCTCTCGTCAGCGGAATAACTGTACTGTGACGCGAGCGGCTGAATACACAGTTTTGACGTCTACCAAAACGTTATTCGCTGCAGGACCACTTCGAGCCCTCCCAGTTCCAGACGAGGTGCTCTGACGGCTGGAGGAGGCTAAAAGCCACAGCTGTTCCGAGCTTGTTTCTGCATTCTGAAAGTCAAGTGAGTGCGTGTAACGGGGATAAGTGAGATTTTTGTTCTTTTGGTATTTACCTAGATTATGAGAGTGAATTAACAGCAATAATTTATCTTGTGTTAAGATGTTTTTACTGATATGATTTGAAAGAGGCACAGGTGACCTATAATAATGTGGACTTGGTAGGCTGTTGACATCTCTGTTCCATGTCAGAGACCTTTTTTTTTTTTTTAAATCGGAGTGGTCCTTGTGCAAGAGTGCATGAGACACCATCGTTCAGTGTTGCAGCCTGACACAGCACAAAACCCCGCCTCATGGAAATGTAAGTCAACCCAATAACTCATATTCTGTTGCTTCTATTAAGTTTATGCATAAGGCATTCATCACTCTCAGCTGCCTTGTAATGTTATGACAGCCTCACCAGCTAAGTATCTGTCATGGTTCTTGCATGGCTTGGAGTGATCTCGTGAGGTGGGCAACACCCAATGGACCATTTGCAGAATTAGTGGTTCGAGAGTGCATGGCTAAAAGACGAGAGTTCCCTGGCCGCAGGCACGTCCACTGCGTCCCGTTGGCTTATTGTGTCGCAGTGACTTAGATAGAGCTCCCCCGAAACCACTTTTGTCCCCCTTGAGGATTATCTTTCACCCCGAGGTAAATACAAAGAAGCCTTCGTCCCTCTTTGCTCGGCCAGCATGAAGAGAGAAAGGGCGACAAATCCATTTATTCTCGAACCCATATTTCTGCAAAACGAGGATTCTCGTACCGTGTTTGCAGCAACCAGCGGCCAGGACCTCCGGAGTGACCCTGCAGGTCGGCCTGCTGACGCAGCCGCTCCCCACCACCAGCGGGGCGTGCTTCGTAAGCATCTTCCAGGGTCCTGCGCACCCCCGTGTAGCAATACCACCACGCTCTTCGCCGCAGGTGACCAGTGACAACCAGCGCGGCCAGGCCAGCTCAGCTGCCCACGGCACCTTGGTGTCGGCACACTCCACCAGCTGGGTATGTGGTTCTTGCACGGCTTGGAGTGATCTTGTGAGGTGGGAATCACCCGATTCTCATACCGTGTTTGCAGCAACCAGCAGCCAGGACCTCTGGAGCGGCCCTGCAGGGCGGCCTGCTAACGCAGCCGCTCCCCACCACTAGCGGGGCGTGCTTCGTAAGCATCTTCCAGGGTCCTGCGTACCCCCGTGTAGCAATACCACCGCACCCTTCGCTGCAGGTGACCAGTGACAACCAGCGCGGCCAGGCCAGCGCAGCTGCCCTCGGCACCTTGGTGTCGGCGGCCTCCACCAGCTGGGTATGTGTCATGGTTCTTGCACTGCTTGGAGTGATCTCATGAGGTGGGCAACACTCAATTCTTGTACCGTGTTTGTGGCAACCAGCGGCCAAGACCTCTGAGCGAACCCTACAGCCTCTTTCTCCATGACCCGTTTCACCTAGGCTCACTGAAGATGTCTTTCTTCAGATGAGCCGGAAGATCAAGCTGCTGGAGAACGAGAATCATCGCTTGGTGAGGCAGGCTGCCTTACAAAAGACAAGGGAAGCGACATTCCGGTCTCACTTGCACAAGTTCTTCACTGCGGACCAACTGGCAGCTCTATCGAGATCCAGCAACAGGGGGTCCAAGTGGTCTAATGAGACGGTGAAGAAGTCGCTGCAGATGCGATTTGCATGTGGCAGCTTGGGCTACGACTTGCTACTGGAGGGGAGCTTCCCATTGCCGTCGTCTAGAACTCTGGGGCGGCGGCTGGAAGGCAAGTTTGTTGTCAGGCTACTCAAATGCTTCAAAGCTCCCTGTTGATTATTTACAGATATAATATCCTTGTTAGTAACTGTAGTGTTTTTGTATTTTACACAATTTATTTTTAAATGATAAGTTGGTGTCATGGTTCCTTTTTCACTTAGTTGCAGTGTGGTATGAAGGGGTAGATTATTGATATTGTGTTGGAATGATTCTCTCATCGCAGGCATACAGCACTAGTTTGACCTCAGTATCTTGCACGCGTCGAGATGTGAATTCAAGTTTAGAGGGGGACCTTGCTGATGCGACCATGGAGGTAATTATGCTGACGGTGTCTAGGAGAGCACCCTGTGGTGATGATGGTCGAATGAGGCTTATGGATTCCATACGAGCACTGCATGAGCACTTGACTTGGGTTCGTGACAATAAGTGCCTCGGCAAACATTTGGGCAGCTCATGACTAATCTCTGCACACGAATGGCCAAAATTAAACATTGTTTACAGCTCAGCACATGCTGCACATGTTGCCATCCCCAGCCTATGGCTATACACAGTTCTCATGTGACGTCATTCTAGTCACCATTCCCAGGTGCTAAGCGTCCCATTAATGTAGTGGAAGGTAGGTCTAATCTGCACCCCGTGATTGGCGCGGCCCTACTAGAATAAAACGTCATCATCTCACCTACCAATCGTGTGTGTCCTGTGTCCTGTGATGTCGAGATCACTCTAGCGCTCTTATCAGTTGCCCTTGGGACTCGCGATGAGTTGGCCGCGTGCCGTTCGTTCGGTGATGTGCACAGTTTCTAAGTGCTGGCAAAGTCGCGATTGCAGCGAGTTAGCGCAGTTGAGTGCGCTTCTTAACGAACACCGGTGTGCTGTGCAGAAGCGACACTTACACAGAAAACACCGTGATCGTGCGTATTTCGCAGGCACTGCGATTGTGCATTGAGTGGAAGGCACACCTCCAGAGAAGAAGAGGTCACGTGCGTGTGCGACGAATTCAGGAAAACATTGTAATGTAGCATAATGATTGTTCATGTTCCTGGTCAATATGAGTGCTTACCTCAAGGCCAAAAAAAAAAAAAAAAACTGACTTTTACCATGAATATGTGTTACTCTACAATTGAGGTCCCGTCAAGCAGTGTGCATCATTGCTCATCATCTCTTTAGTCTAAGATTTAAAACAAATATTTGGGTATAGCAAGAGGACTGACAAATCTCTCATCTACTTACAATCTCTATGTAGGGCTTGATTTATTTGAAGCGAGAGTCATTCAGTAATTTAGATCAGAATTAACTGAGCCTTGGCAGTGCGTAGGCAGATACTTGAGAATAACCTAAATGAAACCAGCTAGATTTTCCTTTACAAAGTATAATCATTGCTGACATGCTGAGTTTGTGTACTAGAAAGCTATCTCTACAGGAAAAATGCTGTTGACAAGGAGAACTAAATGACAAGCTTCATTTGTTGCTTCGATTAACAACAGCAGAATTTACGCAGATCCTTGAGAACGTGAACAAAACATACTCAAAATTACTCTTGTCTAACCTCATTTCAGTGGATTACTGTGTGCCCCTTGATATTAGGTGTTTTAGGTATGATAGTCTTTATATCATATCTAAAATGACTTTTTATTCATACTCGTTCACACTCATCCATCACTCAAATACTATAATGTTTTGAAAAATGTGTACTAAGGTAAGAGTGCTAAGCTAAGTTAGCATGTAGCTTAGCTTGTTTGTAGCTAGCTAAGCTAGTTACACACGACTGGAAGCTAACTTAGGTCAGCTTCCATTAAGCTAAGCTACCTTCCGCCATCTTGAGATCAACACTGTCAAGATGGCGGAAGCTGAGCGCAATGGCAGTATCAGAAAGGCACCGCAAGTATTCAATATGCGATTCGAAATTATTCGACCCAAGTCACTATTAGCTTCTTATTCGCTTGAAACGTAAAATCCGTTATTCGCACGTGCCTGCTTAAGGGGAAACTAAAGCGGTTTTGTACCTTTAAAAAACACTTGCATCATCTTCATATGGCCTCCAGTATCACGAATATTAAAATTATTTGTCAATTTGAGGCCCGGAGTAGCCATCAAAGCATTTTGACCGTAGCGCTGAAGCCCCGCCCTCCCGAGGTGTAAGAAGCTAGGAGGAAATTTCTGAGAGACAGCAGCGTCGCAACAAGGATCCTCGGAATCTCTGCAGCTATTGCAAGCTTATTTGAGTGGTCGACAAATTGTGTGTGATTCACCTCATGCTCACGATTTTCGCTCGCCTGTTTGTTTGGCGTAAGTTTAGTACACCTATAAACTTTCATAAAAGATTTAGCGGATGTTGGTCAGGCGTGAAAGATTGTAGCGGGAACTAGGCGTCTGTAGCAGATGACGCACCATTTCACGAGAATAAAAAAAGCGCTGCATTGGGCAAGGCTGGTCACATGTGCCGGAACACTGCACGAGAGATGGTGCTTGAGCTTCGGTGGCCAGGTGAAAGTTCTTGACGTGACATCATGCCGAGTGAATTTAAATATTTCTTTGCGTTGGGTGATACTTCTTGAGCAAATAGTGCATATTCAAATTTGCAGGATACAAATACGGAAGAATTTACCTCTAACTCATTTTTTTTGGTGAACCTCTTTAGCTTCCCTTAAAGTGTTTTCAACAAAATCAGTCAGTGGTTCACAAATCGGAGTCGGTGACACTTTTAGCAACGCACAGCTACCAAAGTAACCATGGAGTGTACTTTACTTCAGTGCTGGCATTCATCACCTTTGCTCATGAAGTGGAACTGCCAACTTTAAGAGAGTGGAAAAAACTCGTAAAAAACCAGCAAAAACCATTCGTATGGACAACAGGAATGGAAGTTAGTAGCCTTTTCTTCGTTTAGTGCCCATGCTGTTCTTTTATTGACTGAGGGGGAAGTTTCAAATCATTGATTCCTTCAGTCCAGTTTACCAAACATTGCATACACTTGATGATCTAAAGCAGTTCTGTGTTTGTAGGTGAGCACTGCCCTACGGGTCCTCAGTCACTCCACGGCCACTGCCCTGCGCTTCCTGGTGGAGAATCATGGCTGGAGCACCAACTTCCTCACCACGGCTTGGTTCTTGGAACAGGTCAACAAATGGTTTGATCTTATGAGCAGCAGGCACCCAGTCCTTGCGATCAGCAGGCAAAATGAGGCCTGCTACAAGAACACCCTTGACTTTCTGGTCAAATTTAAGGATCTTTTTCTTCACCTCACTATTGGGGATGGGGCGTTCAAGCCAGTGCAGGCGGGGGTAATCCTCTCTACCAAGTCCATTCTGGACCTGCAGCAAAGTCTCATTGAGAGACATTCTTTTTCATTTGTGCTCATATCCAGATTCACGCAGGACTGCCTTGAAAACTTGTTTTCGGTAGTGCGACAGGGCAACCCTATCCCAACTTCTTGGAGTTTAAGATGACCTTGAAAATCATCACACACTCGCAGTACCTGAAGGCGTCCAAGGCAGGGTCCTACGAACTGGACGATGCCTCCTTTTACCTGGCTGACCTCGCAGACTTGGATGTACAACCTGCTGTGCCCACCGGCATTTTTCTTGAGGAGGTAGAACTCACCATGTCACAACCTGAGGAGAATAGCTTTGACTATTACGCGGGTATGTGGTACGAAGAGTTGTAAAAAATAATGCTGCATCTGACACGTGTGCTGCAGCTGTTCAAGTCCCCATGGCACCTGCAAATAGCCTCCTCAGGCTAAAGAGTTATGTCCCTGACGCTCTGACCTGCCCCTCTGAAGCTGCACGCACCCTCTTCACAATTTGTGAAAGTGTCTTTCGCAGCCTCATTGCGGATTTGATGCATGCACGGGGCATCCTGGACGGCCTATCGGCGAGGATGGCTGCAGAGAGCCAATGTGTTCAGCTGCCCGACTGCCATGAAATCAAAATGAAGCTCATCAGGCCATTCTGCCATGCACGGCTGCAACTGTTCCTGCGGGAAAAAAGTCGCGAGTTGGCGGCTGGGGCAGCTGAACGCAGGGACTTCGGCAGTCGATGGCAGGACCCCGGAGAAC